CTGCTGCCACTCTAATCAGCTGATTTACTCAAAACACCTGCAAAGGCCTTTAAAAGGTCCCTCAGTCTTGTTTTGAAGGCACCACAATCATGGGGAAGACTTCTGACTTAACAGCTGTCCAAAAGACAATCATTGACACCTTGCACAAGGAGGGCAAGACACAAAAGGTGATTGCTAAAGAAGCTGGCTGTTCGCAGAGCTCTGTGTCCAAGCACATTAACAGACAGGCGAAGGGACGGAAAAAATGTGGTAGAAAAAAGTGTACAAGCTCTAGGGATAACCGCACCCTGCAGAGAATTGTGACGACAAACCCATTCAAAAATGTGGGGGAGATCCACAAAGAGTGGACTGCAGCTGGAGTCAGCGCTTCAAGAACCACCACGAGGAGACTCATGAAAGACATGGGATTCAGGTGTCGCATTCCGTGTGTCAAGCCACTCTTGAACAAGAAACAGCGCAAGAAGCGTCTCGCCTGGGCCAAGGACAAAAAGGACTGGACTGATGCTGAGTGGTCCAAAGTTATGTTTTCTGATGAAAGCAAGTTCTGCATTTCCTTTGGAAATCAAGGACCCAGAGTCTGGAGGAAGAGCGGAGAAGCACAGAATCCACGTTGCATGAGGTCCAGTGTAAAGTTTCCACCGTCAGTGATGGTGTGGGGTGCCATGTCATCTGCCGGTGTTGGCCCACTCTGTTTCCTGAGGTCCAGGGTCAATGCAGCCGTCTACCAGGAAGTTTTAGAGCACTTCATGCTTCCTGCTGCTGACCAACTTTATGGGGATGCAGACTTCACCTTTCAACAGGACTTGGCACCTGCACACAGTGCCAAAACCACCAGCACCTGGTTCAAGGACCATGGTATCCCTGTCCTTGATTGGCCAGCAAACTCGCCTGACCTTAACCCCATAGAAAATCTATGGGGTATTGTGAAGCGGAGGATGCAATACGCTAGACCCAACAATGCAGAGGAGCTGAAGACGACTATCAGAGCAACCTGGGCTCTCATAACACCTGAGCAGTGCCACAGACTGATCGAGTCCATGCCACGCCGCATTACTGCAGTTATTGAGGCAAAAGGAGCCCCGACTAAGTATTGAGTGCTATACATGCACATTCTTTTCATGTTCATTCTTTTCAGTTGGCCAACATTAGAGAAACAAACATTTTTTCATTGGCCTTTAGAATATTCTAATTTTCTGAGATACCAGATTTGATGTTTTCATTGGTTGTCTCCTATAAATATCAAAATTAAACGTAATATACATCGGAAATACATTGGTCTGTGTGCATTGCATGAATATAATGTACAAGTTTCACGTTTTGAATGGAATTACTGAAATATTTTCAACCTTTTGATGATATTCTAATTTACTGGCCAGCACCTGTAAACAGTGTAATAAGGAGTTAGGTGTTATGGTTTATCAAGTGAGCAATGCTAGAACCACAGTGTTTTCATAGCGTTACAGTTAAACACGTTTATCCTCAACGTTTTAGTTGTCGCTTCGCTTGGTCTGCCCAAATCTCCCATGATGCACCGTTACTCATTCTTCTCGTTTTTTTTTAAACTTTTGTCCGGGAGTCGAAGTGCGTAGGTTCGATTCCCGCTCAGTGCGAATACAAAAGTGGAAATGAATGCGAAATCTCCATAATAACACTAATTATTGCCTAAATAATTGTTCACAATTACCACTTTAAATTTAATTATAATTGTGATGAAGAACCACTGAGCTGTGAAATATATTGGTCATAATATACATGTAAAAATTATAGAACATATATGAAAAAATGCATCAGTGTTGAAATATATCTGTGATGTAATAAAACACATATAATAAATGTATCTGTGTCTCACAATTGGCACAAATACGGCCTTTTGATAGGTCAACTCTATGGCACAATTGACACATTTGGTACAAACAGTACCAGTGACACTGAGGGTTAAGGTTTTGTTATTTTAAAAAAAGAGGAACGCTTCACGAAATTGCGTGTCATCCTTTAATCATTATATGCTAACCCCAGGCCTTAATAACGCACTGCAGTGGGCTGTTTTAAACAAATTAGAAAAATAATAAATGGAATGAGTGAATTTTTTTAACATACATTTTTCAAACACTAACCTTTGCAGCAGTACAATTTGTATTACCACAATCGGAATGGACTAATAAACTGATAACAACACAATAAAACTCACCAAGTTTAGTAAGAAGAGACAAAAGTAAGCATGACGACCATGGAGTCATTTTCACTTTTGAAGTGGGGGGGACACGGGGGGGGGGGGGTATCCTTACAGTATGCTCTAATGGGAAACAGGCTTCAACACAAACGGTTGTTTTCCGCTTGGTCCTAGAGCTCAACCAGTGTCAATTTAATACAGCGTAATATTGTTTTCAGAAGTGGGGGGACATGTCCCCCCCCCAGAAAAAAATTACGTCCATGATGACAATTATCCTACTCGACTTGTTGAAATGAAACATGACAAAGCAGATTCCGCATAAAACTATAACAAAGTTAGGATACAAGGAATAAAATGGAGAAAAGGTGCTAAATTAAAGAGTTGTTTGTCACGTGGCAACGTCATAATAAAAGTCCTAAAATTTATGTCATTTGTAAAATATAGTTATGCGACAGTGTTGTTCATATGTGTACATTTGTAAAGAAATTTCCAGTCAGGCTCTAATTTTGAGGAGCGTTCAAAGTTTTTTTTTTTTTTTTTTTCTAGCTTTTTTTTTTTTTTGCAGAAAAGCATATTTACATTACAAATAAGGCGAACATGCCAATGTATTCAGATGAGAATTGAACAGTCAGTGAAAAGGGGGAGGACAAAAACAAACAAAAAAAAACCACAAAAACAATGCAAGGGACCACTACACAGTTCCAGGAAGTCTACAAAAAAGTATATACATATCTTCATAGCTGTTATTATTGATACATTTAAGGGATCTTAGATACAATCTAAAATCATGTACAAATGCATTGAACACAGGGGGTGATTTCAGTATTTTTTGTTTATGTATGAAGAATTTTGCCAGACAGAGAAGTAGATTGTAGCAGAGTTCTTGGTTGTTTGTTTGAAGGAGAGTTCCAAAGGTGACGACATCTCTTGAAATGGGACATGGGATTCCAATCTGAGGTTGAATCCAGTTTTCAAAACAGTTCCAAAACGTCCGTGTCTTGTTGCATTCAAAGAAAATATGATTAGTTGTTTCAACATCCTTCCCACAAAAGGAACATGAATTATCATCAATGTTAAAACGTTTTCTGAGCAGATCCTTTGAGGGATAGACATTGTTTAAAATTTTAAAATGTGTTTCTTTGACTTTAGGTTGAACAGGAAGTTTTAAATAAAGAGTCCTTAGTTTAATAATGGAGCTTTTACCAAATTTGTAAATTATGTTGTTCTTGTTGACTTTACAAGGGTATAGTTGATCAGTAAAACACCGTCTAATAAATTGGTTGGTACACTTTTTATCCGTAAGGGGAATACCTTGGATGGAGATAGAACCATATACTGTGGATTTATAGGTTGGTGTTGAATAATGTTTCTGTACTGGAAGACCACCTCTTTAGGAAGCGCTATTAATAATTTTATAAAATCAGATTTAGGAGGGCTAAAGTTATATTTAAGACAAAATTCATCGTACCCTAGTAGTTCACCATTATCTTTCATCAAGTGTACAACAGACCAAATTTTCCTATTCATCCAATCTTCATAAAATAGTGACCTATTACGGCATAATACATATCTATTGTTCCAAATTATAGAAGAGTGAGGGGAATAATTATGTACATACAACAACTTCCAATACATTAGTACTTGTTTGTGGAACTCTGATAATTTTGTGGGCAGTTTGTTTATATCAAAATCTGATAACAGTAAAATTTTTAGACCACCCATTTTGTTAAATATATGACTGGGGATAGAATACCAGAAAGCGTTCGGATTCTTGAGCCAAGATTTTAGCCAGTTAATTTTGAGTGTTCCGTTAAGGCAATTGAAATCTATTACTTTTAAGCCTCCATCTTTAATTTCTTTGACCATTTGATCTTTCTTTATATAGTGTGGCTTATTTCTCCAAATGAAGTTAAAATTGATGGTGTTAATCTTTTTAATTAGGTTGTTTGAAATTGCAGTACTGCAGGTTGGATAAACTAATCGAGATATACTCTCCATTTTGGTTAAATAAATGCGCCCTAATATGGAGAGATCCCTCTGAAGCCAAATATTTAGTTTGGCTTTAATTTCATTAAGTTTATTTGTTATGTTTGTCCTTAGGTTAAATTGTTGGTCTTTAGAAATATATGTTCCTATATTTAATTTCAGATTTGATGGGAATGTTACAAATTTCTTTTAGAGGGGAGTCATGAATAGCCAATAGTTCACATTTTTTCAAATTTAGCTTAAGTCCACATGCTGCAGAGAATAGCTTGATTTTATCAATAGCAATAGGAATTTGTTTATAATCTTTTAAGAAAAGCGTGGTGTCATCCGCTAATTGACTTATGATCAACTCTGTGCCAAGGACATTTAACTTTTTTAGATCCACACAGTTTTTTAAGTAGATTGCTAACATTTCACTAACTAATATGAAAAGGCAAGGAGAAATTGGGCAGCCTTGTGGTATGCCCACAGAGACATTGAACCTGGGGGTGGAACCTCTGGGTAACGAAACACAGCTGCTAATATTCCGATACAAACCTCTGATTAGATTAGTAAACTTAACTCCAAAGCCAAGATGTTCTAGAACTGAGAAGATAAATTGGTGTTCCACTGAATCGAATGCTTTATAGAAATCTAAAAATAATATGAAACCGTCATCATTTATCATATCACTGTATTCAATAATATCCATTACCAATCTTATATTGTTGTGAATAGATCTTCCTTTTAAAAATCCTGACTGTGTTTCCGAAACAATATCTGAAATTCCAGATTGAAGACGTATCTTGAAAATGTAAGTCAAAAGTTTATAATCTGTATAGGAGCGTTCAAAGGTGCCAGGATCTCCAACTGTGGAGATGATCCTAGGCAGCTGGGGGCGCAGTTCCTGCACCCGGCGACCCACCCTACTGGAACCTCAGCTGGACGGAGCCTGCTGGAGTGGAGCTCTGAAGAGGGAGGAAGCGGCTCTTCGAGCGGAAGATGGCGATTGCGTGGAAGCTGCAGAGGAGTCATCGGAGCTGATATAGGGAGGGAGGAGAGGAAAATACACACAGACAGCTCTGCAAATAACACACCTGAAACTACGGTACCTACTAAGCCTATGTTGCTATTCAGTGTAATTGTCAACATTTTAGGGAGGAACACTGTCATGTTAGGGCAACACTCACAGACGTACACACGGGCGAACAGATCATTGAGAAGGAAGGACCACAGAAATCAGCTAGCCCCTTAGCTTCTAAAATGCTATGCTAGCTGCTGTTAGCTGTAAGCTTGAGTATGTCACATCGACAAGACTAAAACGACTAAATATATATATGTATATATCGCTTGTCAGTTCGAATGTACTAAAGGGGAGATTTTAATCTAAAGTTGTATGTCGCTTGGTAAAGATTGAATTCTGTTTGCAGCCGTTAGCAGGGATGTAGGAAGGCAGTGTTAGCTAATGCTAATACTCTCTGAGAAGCGTTAAATTTTTAAACCTGAACCAAACGACTCAAATAAATGTTTTGTGACATTTTGAGCAAATGTAATAGATTTTTACTGCTCCGTTGTTTAGATAGTTTTAGAAATCATTTAGCATAATCAATACAATGGTTCATTTTGTTATGTGATTGGTAAAAGTGGCTAGCTAGACAAGGCTAATGTAATAACTGGGATGTGCTTAGTGGAAAGGCCAGCTTCACGGTCTAAAGAAAGAACACCATCGATTTCAAACAGTTGATGGATTATTTATTCGTGCCGTGGGCTAAAATGGCACTAAATGTTGATCACAACCTTGCACCATCATTAGCAGCTGCTCCTTCTGTTTTATGTAAGTTTTCATCCTCTTGTAGATTCAGTTGAAAGAAGCACAGTAAGGAAGTGGTGGACAAATCACGGATAAGCAAGTGTAAACATAAATTTCAATAGGTAACACATTCGGATGAAGCTGAAGCCGAACTCGCTCATTAACTCTGCTCAAAACACATGTCTCAACAGACAATAATGTCCCTATCCCCTGACAATGAAAATGGATACTTTGTTGCCATGGATACAGAGGATGATGGTACAGAGACTGCTGGGATAACAGAAGAAGAGGAGACAAAGATGGGGTCCTGTAGACAAGAAGGGGACGTGGACAGCTGTGCCAAAGATAAAGGGAGAACAATGGTTGAGTTGCCAGAGGAAGTTCTAGAATATATTTTATCCTTCCTCTCACCTTACCAGGAGCACAAGACCGCTGCGTTAGTGTGTAAGCAGTGGTATCGTCTCATTAAAGGTAGGACCATCCCATTTGCTTTTGCACTGTTTGTACCACCGTCTGTTGATGTGTTGTTCTTGCATTTTTTTTCTTACTTTCATTTTCTCTAATTTAGGTGTAGCTTATCAATGTTACCATGGTTTCTTGAGAGCTGTTCAAGAGGGAAATATCCAGTGGGAAAGTCGGACATACCCATATCCTGGAACCCCGATCACTCAGCGCTTCTCACACAGTCAGTACATTCTTATTTGCATCTTACACTGAAACACGCCAAACCTTTGTGACATCTGGATTTCTTTAAATTGAAAATAACTTGTTATTGTACTTTTCTTGTCTAATTGACAACTCAACACACTTAAACACTGCAAAGGGATCTATATATTAAAGAGCAGGTTCACTGAGAAATCGCTTTTCAGTCATTATTTTTTTAAAGTGATCAGTCACGCTTGAGTTTTGCACGGAGGCTGAACATAAAAATAGCCTTCCACCTCTACATCCTGCATTAGCTTCTGATAGAAAATAGGCAGAAAAACACTCTGTTCAAAAAAATCTGACAGATCTACGTCACACTGTCACTTCACATTCATGGACTCGGCCATCTTGGCCCACAGTGAGGAAGACTGTTGTTGGTTTAGCGTCCAGGAACCAGTAGAGAACGTCTCGGCTATTAGAAGCTAACCGTTAGCGTTAGCGACTCCCCCTCATGGCAGAGGATCATGTTTGTGTTATTTGTTGAGATAAAACATCAATGTTGCAGAGTTGCTGTTAGCCAATCAGAGGCAAGATGTCCCGAATATCAGGAAATTAAAATCAAACCTGCTGCCACTTTCTTCTCCAGCTGAATATTACGTCCTCACGGCGCAACTGAGCCTTCCCCCCCCCCGGAGAATGACTTATAATATTTCCTTCCTACCAGAGACCAACGCCAGAAAGCAATCTTGGAAACTAAAGTTTTGCTGATCATAACGGCATAGATGACAAAACACCTTTTACAACTCTGCTGTTAATGTGCACGACATTATTCTGCATCGATTCTGTGTTTACATCTGATCTGTGCACGTCTTCTTGTTTTGGGGGAATGTTGCAGGTGCGTGCTATTACGACTCGAACCAGTCCATGTATGTGTTTGGGGGTTGCACTCAAAGTAGCTGCAACGCTGCCTTCAATGATCTATGGAGACTTGACCTCAACAGCAAGGAGTGGATCCGTCCTTTAGCCTCAGGTGAGAAACATTTTAGTGAAAACCAGAACCAAACAGGAACTCTGAGCCTTGTTTGAGTGTATTAAATTTGATTTCTTTATTTTGAAAATGATCTTCCAGGCTCCTATCCTTCTCCTAAAGCTGGAGCGACTCTAGTGATGCACAAAGATCTGTTAGTTTTGTTTGGGGGATGGACGCGGCCCAGCCCTTATCCTCTGCACCAGCCAGAAAGATTTTTTGATGAAATCCACACATATTCCCCATCAAAGAACTGGTGAGATGGACCACAGTGGTTCAGAGGCTGTATTTGAAATTCAGGTGCGTCTCATTTACCTTGTTTCCTCCTACTTTCTCAGGTGGAACTGCATAGTAACGACAAACGGACCTCCACCTATGGCTGGACACTCATCATCTGTTATTGGAAACACCATGGTGGTGTTCGGTGGATCATTAGGAGCACGTCAAATGTATGATCATTTTATTTAAAGGGATACTTTGCAATAATTTAAAAAATATGTTTTTTTCCTGAGCCAGTATGTGCTAAAATGACCCTTTACAGGGTTAATGAAATGTCACTCACCACCCCCAGAATATTCCACTTGCAACTTCAGAGTGGTGGGCTGCTCTTTTTGAAGCTGACATACTTGGCGCTGCAGTCTGCTTCCTGCTTGTTTTAGATTATGAAAACAGCTGGTTTGTTTAATTTAGTGATGAATCACACTGAGGAAGGCTGTGGAGACATTTAAGCAGTTAGATTAAGGTGTTAAAAGACGATTGCACAGCGAGGAGGTTCTACAAACGAACATTAAGGGGGAGCGCTAAAAGCAAGCCAAAACTGCCTAGTTCCCCTTTAAACGAATAATGCTTTAAAAAAGAGAAATGGGGTACTTTTAAAGCTAAAAGAGCATCCGTTTTTGCACATTATATGTCAAAAGTCTTTTCTGTTAAATTTAAATGCATTTATTAAGGTTCAAGGTTGTCTTTATTAATCCCCAAGTGGGAAATTGAATTGCCTTGGACAAGTAAAAACAACATGCACATCCACACAATGAAACATTCACTGGTCACTGCTATAAGCCACAATTGAAATCTGGATTCTACTTTACAATAAGTTGGCAGGATGGTGTTCTAACATGCAAATTATTTGATGTATCCACGTTTTTAATATGTCATCCAGACTTGGTCACACAGCTGTTACGTCCTGTGGACACGCCCAGGGGCCTCATTTCTCAAGCTTGCTTACGCACAAAACGGGGTCAGAAAACTGCGTAAGCAACTTCCACGCAAACTTTGGGATTTATGAAAGAAAACTTTGCGGAGAATGTGCGCAACTTTATGTTGACTAAGGACCTGGCTTACGCACATGTTGGACATGGAGAGCACCTGCAGTGCTGCTGCTGAGAAGGATACAATTATGAAATCCTGCAGCATTATCACTTGTACCGCTTCGTTTTCACACAGAACAAGACCCCACACATGCGCACACACACACACACAGCCTGAAGTTAGAATACGGAATACAGAATATCAGCAGCGGGACAGATTGAGACAGAATGTCATGCGTCTGTGACAGTGTGTGTCCTGTCACTGTGACCCGATTGATCATGCGCCCAAGCTACTTGGACAAGGGAGATCTCCATTTGGCTGACTGGTTAGCGCGCGCGACTTTCACCTGGGAGTCTGGGGAATTGAATCCCGATTGGACCATTTTTTTTATATCCGCCACAGATCTCTCTGAAGAACTCGACATTGACGGCTTCAGCAACGCTGTGCCACTCTTGTGGATTTTCTCTTATTTGTTTAGCAAAAGCACTTCCTTTTATTTCTCCGCCTCACCCACAGGTACCTCAATTTTTGCTTGTGAAAAAGCACTTCCTTGATCTGCGGTCGGGATCGAAATGCTGCGACAAGGCGGCTTATGTGTATGCATGAGATCAACAAGGCACTTTGCATTGACTATTTATGGCAGTAAGTGGGCGTGGTGAGGGCGTGATGTGACTAAAATGCAGCTGAGAAACTTTCTCGTTAGTCTCCGATTTATGAAGCGGAGATTGCGTGCAGCTGTGCGTACTCCATGTTTGATAGATCACAAACCTACTTGGCGTAAGTACTTTTTTTTTTTTTGCTGAGCTTAAGTACGGTTTTAGTAAGGATTCTACACAATGTTTGATAAATGAGACCCCTGGTCCTTAGGGAAGGCATCTGACTCTGGACATTCTTCATAAAGTCTCTCTAATGCTGCCAATTTCTGTTGAATTAGCTTCGGTGAGAACGCTGTGATTCATGTTTTTTTTTGTTGTTGTTCTGATTGTTTCTGATCAGGAGTAACGAAGTCTGGGTTCTGGATCTGGAGCAGTGGTCCTGGTCCAAGCCTTCAATATCGGGTCCGTCACCCCACCCGCGAGGAGGCCAGTCACAAGTAAGAAAGTTTGAGTTTTATCCCAGACTTCATTCATTGTTTTAGATAAAATGCTGATGAAATGTTTCATTGCCAGATTGTTATTGAAGACAAGATTTTGCTCATCCTGGGAGGCTGTGGTGGCCCTAATGCTGTACGTTTGTTTTCATTTGTTTTTGAAACATCATTTTTAGATTGAAGCTTTTGTCTTTTAGGGGTGTTGGGAAGTTTGTGGGACCTCAGAAAGAAATGTGTTTGTGTTTGATATGGAAGCTCCTTAAGGATGCGTGGCTCCTCCACATGGAAACCCCAGCATGGAGGTGGCAGCAGCTGCAGGTGGAGAACGAGGAACATGGAGCTCCTGAGTTGTGGTGTCACCCAGCTTGTAGGGTAAGTTTTAGACGGTTTTCATCTCTGCTCTGTGATTTTTTTGTTTAATTTAATCTCTAATGTGTTTTCTGAACCTGCACTTTTGCCTCAAGGTGGGCCAGTGTGTGGTGGTTTTCTCCCAGGCTCCATCTGGCCGCGCACCGCTCAGCCCCAGTCTTAATTCTCGACCTTCTCCGATAAGTGCCACACCGGCCCCTCTGGGCCCCGAGCCGCCCTCCCTGCGCTCTCAGTCTCCCATTCGAAGCGGGGCCGCCGGTGTTGTCCTGGGAGCCGCTGAAGAGGCCCCGTGTGTAAACGGCAGATGGGGTACCCTGAGACCTCGACCCTCCGCGAGAGGAAGTGCCAGAGATGGGAGCCCATCCTCGTCCCAGCAGCCATCTCCGTCACAGGGTCCGGACAGCCCTCCCCTCCCTCCACTTCCCCCTCTGATAAATGGATCCTCCCCATCTCCTCGGACCAGCCCGGCCCAGGGGGGCTCTCCTCCCTCTCGCCCTCACTTGCCTGGCTCCAATGAGTACGGTTGGGAGTCTCCCCCCTCTGCCGCTCATCACCCTGAGGTTCCAAGCACCAACGGCCTGCACACACCTCCTTCAGTCTCCCCTCTCACACCCCCCGGAGCGGTGTCTCCTGCTGCTTTAAGACGAGGGCTGGAGGCAGTGAAAAACAAATCTTCCTCGTCTTTACCTTCGTCATCGTCTTCCTTTCACACCCAGGGGGCTTCTCCTGTAGGAGGCAGCAGTGGAGGGGGAGGAACTGGTCCTTCTGGAACCCCTCCCTCCTCATCCTCCAGCCCCCCACAAGCTGACGGACATGCTATCCCACCTATAGCACGGCGCCTGGGTCATCACCCCCCTCAGAGCCTGAATGTAGGAAAGCCCCTGTACCATTCTTTCAACTGCAAGCCCATGCAGATGTACATGTTGGACGTGTCGCGGGCCAAATCCCATGGGGTCGTGTCCTGGAAGGTCTATGGTAACGGGACTCCTGCTGCCGTTACAGGACCGCCAGAGACGAGCCTTCACACTGTGGTACAAGGCAGGGGTGAGCTCATCATTTTTGGGGGGCTCATGGACAAAAAACAAAATGCAAAGTACTACCCTAAGACCAACGCCTTGTACTTTGTACGCGCTAAAAGGTAATGCATCTTCAGGTTGGATTGGGAAGACAGATGCTTTATCCTGTGATCAAACAAGGGAACTGACACACAAGGCCTTTTATCCTGTAGGAAGGATTAAAAATATAATTGTTGCTAGATGTTTCACTTGAGAAATTCACTATTGTCCCTTCTGCCTACTGCAAGCATTCAGAAAGAAAACACTTTAATGACACTTTGGTAAACATGCTTGAATGAGAATCTTTGTGTGCAAGTATGCTTGTGACTAGTCAGTCGAGGGAACTGGACTTTGGTCTTTTGTGGTTGTTTCCCCAAAAGGTGAACTAGACATTAACATTTCTTTTTTTGTGAGTGTGACCCCCCTGAACTCTTTAAAAGAAACTGGAAGAGCAGACTGGTTAATGACTACTTTGCTTTTTCTATCACTCTTTAAAAGCCTGCAATGTTTACATTGAAGTCAGTTTGAGCGTGTGTGTTTGTGTGTGTGTGTGAGTGCACGGCATTGGTTAAAAGTTGTTGACTAGTGTGTGTCGGGGGGCACGGGGGCTGAGAGATGTGGTACTGTACTATAAACAGCTGAACAATAAAGGCCTCCTCCATGTCTGCTCTGTCACAGTGATGACGTTCTTTTGTGTTTGGGCAAAATGTTAACGTTGCATGGTTAAAGGTACAATATGTTAGAATTGTCAAGGAAATGAATCACATAACAGTCTGACCTCTCAACGTGTTGGAAGGAAGGTTACATTAAAACAGATTTCCTTCTCAGCTGGCTAGGGGCGGGGTTTAGTTTTTCTACTTTCAAAAAGACCAAAGAGGGACATTCATTCTCCCGCCGCCTTGTGGTTCCACAGCCAATCATATCTGAGCATTTGTAATTCAACTTCGGCCGGCAAAGAGCAGCAGCTTTGTGGAAAGAATGTTGGCAAGTAACAGGAGAGACCCAGAAGTAACTTTTGTTTTACTCAAATATTGGGTAAAGAAGGCTAGTTGCTAACATTGCTAACAGTGAATTGCAACAGAACTGTTGGATCAAAGTATTTTAAGCTGCTTTTTTCAATTAACAAATTGAAATTAAAGTGAAATGTATTTATCTACTTCTTAACCTACTGTATGACTCCTCTTAGCTTTTCACCTTGAATCTTTGGTGCTGATCTGCGAATGGCAACAATTGCTCAAAGTGGACTGGTTTGTATGGATAGATGGACTGCAGTACCCACATCTGACTGCAGGGTGTACTACTTAATACACCTTTACACCAATCTAGATTATAAACAGAAATAAGGAAAAGGATAGACATTTAAAATCACAGTTTGCAATGCAAACAACAAACACATTAGGGATGCGTTAAATTTGGATTGTCTATGTGATGTTGATATTGCCGTTATGGCTGATGAGTCTTCCAATAGTATATAAATCTAAATGAGAAGCAGTGTATGTGGTGTGGCCCTTACTCGCATTGTTGACAAAAGATACAAAAACAGTGTGTAGTACTTGCAAAGTCGAGGTACCATGTAGATGCTGCACTGACTTTGATATACAGGATGGGCCTGTATATCAAACTCATGAAAGAATAAAGTTATGTTCAAACCAAGCACACCATTGTTTTTCTTGTGAAATTCCCAATAAGTTTGATGTGTCACACGACCCTCTTCCTCTTGAAAAAACCAAAAGTTGGATCCAAGATGGCCAACTTCAAAATGGCCACCATAGTCACCACCCATCTTGAAAAATTTGCCCCCTCACATATACTAATGTGCCACAAACAGGACGTTAATATCACCAACCATTCCCATTTTATTAAGGTGTTTCCATATAAATGGCCCACCCTGTATATTAGGGATGTCCAATATTATCAGTATACCATTCAGATTGGCCCATATCAGCATTAACATGTAATATTGGAAAATTGAAGTAGAAATTTGCCTTGTGTAGTTAACGTACGCTGTCCTCACACCTTGTAGCTAGCCAGCTAGCAAACAAAACAACAACAATCTTCACCCAAGGCTAGCTTTTCTTATCTGAAGATCTTTATAAATGTTTTAGAATGAAAGCTACAACAAACAGAAAAAGAAAAAATACGTTACTAACTAGTGCACACATCTTGGCGTCATTCTGAGGGGGAATGAGATTCAGCTGCTGTTAGAGACAAAGGAAATAAGGCACTTTTCCTTTACTAACTTAAACTGAAGTAGTTGTTATTTAGCACATTTTTGAAGTTAAGCAAATATGACAGGAGATATATGATGTTAGTAACCTAAAATGTTTTAGGTTTTCTTTTATCTTCGAGAGGGGGACATAGCATACATCGGTATCAGTTTATATTGGTATTGGAAATGAAGAGTCAGGCAATATTGGATATTGGTCAAAAAGTCAATATTGAGCATATCCTCGCGGAGAGATGAGACCACCCATCTCACCCTCCACGGGTGGTCTCATCCTTCCAAGCTCGGGTCCTCTACCAGAGTCCTGGGAGCTTGAGGGTTCTGCAGTATCTTAGCTGTTCCTAGAACTGCACTTTTGTGGACTGAGATGTCTGATGTTTTTCCTGGGATCTGCTTAGCCACTCCTCCAGTTTGGGGGCTACTGCCCCGAGTACCCTGATGACCACGGGCACCACTGATGTCTTCACTCTCCAGACTTTCTCAAGTTCTTTGAGGCCCTGGTACTTCTCTAATTTCTCGTGTTCCTTATTCCTGATGTTACCATCACTTGGTATCGCCACACCAACCACAACAGCTGTCCTCTGTTGTTTGTCCACCACCAGAATGTCTGCTTGGTTGGATGTGACAAACGAACCTCCACCTATGGTTGGACACTCATCATATGTTTTTGGAAAACCATGGTGGTGTCCGGTGGATCATTAGGAGCACGCCAAATGTATGATCATTTTTTTTTAAATAAAAAAGATAGGTGCTCTATCTGCTCCCTCTTCAGCGCATCCTGAGCTCCTTCAAAGGAATCTCCTACCATCTTTACTCAGATGACATCCAACTGTACATCTCCTTTAAGCCCCATGAGATGTCTAAGCTGCAGCTGTTACACTCCTGCTTAGACTATCAAAACCTGGATGGCTGGGAGCTTTCTTCAGCTGAATGAAGATAAGACCGAGATCCTCATCTGTGCCCCAGACAAGCTGGTTCCCAAAGTCAGAGACTCTCTTGGTCAGCTTGCTTCCCACACCAAACCTTCTGTCAGGAATATTGGTGTGACTTTTGACCCAGCACTCACCCTGGATTCTCATGTCAGTTCTCTTGTTGGCTCTTCCTTCTTCCATCTCAGGAACAATTGCTAAGCTGAATCCCATTCTGTCCCGCTGTGAACTTGAGACAGTTATCCACACCTTCATCTCCTCACATCTAGACTACTGCTTCAGGGCCTTACATGGACAAGCACCATCTTACATTGGTGATCTTCTTAGTCCCTACACCCCCAACAGGTCCCTGAGGTCCAGTGACCAAAGCCTGCTGGTTGTGCAGCACCAGGCTAAAGACCAAAGGTGACAGATCATTTGCTGCTGTGGCCCGCAGACTCTGGAACTGTGGAGCCTGAGATCAGTGGACTCAGTGGTCTCCTTCAAATACCAGCTGAAGACTCACCTGTTCAGGCTTTGGTGTCCTTCATCACCACCCTCTCCTTGTTCTGCTCTTTCTACCAATTCCGCTTTTCCCAGGATCTACCGATTTCCCTCTTTCCTATATCCCTTTCCTTACATTTGAGGTGAGATTTTGAGATTTAAATAAAAACAGCCCTGACTACATAATTTCTCACGTTGTGAGTCATGCTTTGGTATATCAAGGCCTGGATCCTGGGTGACACCAATCCCTCCTACTGAGTGACATATTCAGATTCTATACTTAATTAGCCTATCGTGTCCTAAATTAGATCCTCTGCCTGCATTTTAACCTTTAATTTTCTTCTATTAGAACTTTCGAACATAATTGTATTTCAAGAACTGTTTCAATCAGTTGTGCACCGTGATGTAATGTGAGAAAGGATTTCTGGAAATGACCTTGTGATAAAGGGTTTTTGTTTTTTACTTGCAGTTTATTGTGTGAAATAGCAGCCTCTAGTGGCAGGTTAGAAGAAAGAGGTCTAATAATGAGTCATCTGATCTTCAAGATTAAACATCACTTTATATTCACTATAATAATAAAACAGAGATCAACCACGGTGTTTATACCCACTAAGTATCTGGCAAGTAGGGGAATCCTATTTATGTACAAAAACAATCATTAACGTTTTTGATTTATTTAAGAATATCTTTTTAAAAATGTCAAAGTGAAAACTGCTTATAGGTTGGTTTGTTTTTCTCCACAGATAAACCAGATAAGACTGCTTTTGGCAGATTGGCCTTTTCCTGGCATCTCTGGCCTGCCTTCCCTCAGACCCCCCCCCCCCCCGAGAAATATTGACCTTTTACCCAGAGAGCTCCTATAGGAGCAGAGCAAGGGGGCAGTGAGCAGCAGAGCTGCCTGATTCGTGCAGGCGTTGGGACTGTGGTGAGGTGGCAGGCTGTACCGGCTCTGCATTGGCTCATAGGTGGAGCAGGAGGAGGGGACTTTGACAATGAATGTGCTGAGGACACATGTTTACAATGATGGGGGGACAGAGGAAGAATGGAGCAGCACAGGATCACCCAACAATGTGAGTCTCTTCGTGGAGTCTGTAAATTATGGAGGTAAGTGATGTTGATTCTCACATGTCTTTGGGTGTGTTGTTTCCTCCTGGTTTGCTGCTTCACTTGTGTTGGGTTGCTGTTGTCTGTGCTCATTGAAAGCTGAATTTAGCAGCAGGAAGTGTAATCTAACAACTTTTTTCCTTGCCTGATCAGAAACCTGGATAATTTAATTCTAAAAAGATTCCTGCAAATATTTCTCCCTCAACTAACCCTAACCCTCAACAGGAAGCAATTTCCTCTTATATGCAGAGTTGGGCGTGTGTAAACATGGCTGAACCGTAACAATTAAAATGTGCTTGTGTGTGTGAGCAGATTCTTTTGGAGATGGTGACTCATTTGGGCAGACGGACAGTCCAGGAAGCTAACAGAAGTCACTGCAGAGGAGAAGTGTTTAACACCAACATTACATGATCACTGCAGCTGATGACACGTTTTTCTGAACTTCCGTGTCCTATAACAAGTACAATACACCCCCTTTGTCCTCAACAAACTGATTCAGCTCTAGGACCAACTCTTTGGGTCACTCAGGGATGAGTTCGCTGCTAAAACCTTCACCTAAAGAGTCTATAGTTGGTGGCCAGCCGCCTCACAGGATGGCACCATCTGCTGTTGTCTTTGGCCCCCCATCTGCCCCCCCAGCTGTCCGGCCTCCACTAGACTTTGCCCTGGGTGCGCTTGCCTGCTGTGCAGCCTGTGTGTTCACCAACCCCCTGGAGGTTGTAAAGACCCGTCTGCAGCTTCAGGGAGAGCTTCGTGCTCGAGGGTCCTACCAGATACACTACAGGGGAGTCCTGCAGGCCCTCTGGGTGGTGGGCCGCACAGACGGGCTCCGGGGCCTACAGAAGGGCCTCTCAGTGGGACTCATCTACCAGGGTGTGATGAACGGGGTGAGGCTGGGCTCCTACTCCTGGTGTGAAGCTCTGGGCGTCACCTCTTTCCATGGAGGTAGTCTGCTGTCAGGGGCTGGGGCTGGAGCTCTTGGTGCCTTCATTGCTTCTCCTGCCTACCTGGTAAGTTCAACTTCAGACTTTTTATTGCATTGTTTCTATTAGTGGTTCCAGTTCAGTCATTCACCACTGTTGCTGTACAGGTAAAACTCAGGAAAAATATGGTGCAAAAGTCCAATTATGTCAGTAATCCATCTTAGACTGAGAGACCATCTAAAGGCTCAGGAACTCTTTGCAGGTGTTCTGGATTCATTAGCTGATCAGAATGTGACATTTTGAGTCTAGAATATTGAACCTTTTCTCAATATTCTAACTGTCTGAGATGTTCACTGTGGGGTTTTCATCAGCTGTAGCCATAATCATCACAGTTGCAACAAATAAAGGCTGAAACATCCGAATTTACGTGGAATGAGTCTGTCTAGTATGTTGTTTTCACCTTTCAAGTAGAATTACTGAAACAAACAAACTTAGCATAATTTTCTATTTTTAGTTTCACCTGCATTCCTGGTTTTGACTGATAGACTGATAATTAACCTCCAGCCTGTGAGCCCTTGCTCTGCGTTTTAAATCGTCCAAAGAAAAACTCTTAAAAATATATTTACATAAATCAAAGGTTTGGAAAACAACATGTGTGTGTCTACCATAAAAAAGTTGACCCAGTAAGCTCCCGTTCCTTACAAAACCCACCCATGCATCCACGTGGAACATTGTACAGAATGTTAGCCATTAAATCATTATCTGTCATATCCTGTCTGAGTCCAGTGGGTCCAAACCCAGCGGGCAGCCGGAACCCAGGAACTCTGCAGAATTCATCACCAGAGTAGGAACCACCAGTCAAACACTCGTTTGACAGGAACGGGAGCTTCTGTGCTGCACTCATCGCCACATACACACAACAGGAAGTGTCTACTTTTTATTCAAGGGTCACTTTTTGAAAAAATGTATGTATTTGGTGATTTCTTAATCTACAGTTGGATGTCAAAATAAGCTTTACTTGTCTGCATTGGTCCTGCAAAGAGTTCCTTTAAGAACTGTACTAAAAATAGAAACACCTGGCTGTGGGGGTCGTGTTAGAAAGCATTCCTTAAATACACGTTTAGCAATGATCACAGTAATGCGATGACTCACATGCGTGTCGGTTTCATTTTAAAGCAGGTCTGTAACGGTTTGGGTGCTCTAAAGATAAAATTGAAATGTATAAAGTACTGAAAAATATTAGGTTGCAGAAAAAGACCAAGTTTAAATTAAATGTTGTTCTGCGTCTGCATTTGGTCTGAAATTATCCCAAAATGTGATCTCAGTATACGTATTTATGAGACAAAACAATAATACTAAATTCACAGAGGTCCTATTATGGTATGGCCTGCGAACCAGTTGGTCTATAATGAATGGGTTGTTGTTCCCTTCACCGGAGTACTACTGAGAAATGTCTTCTGGGATAATCCACAACCCTGCTGAAAGTGTTTTCTATAAACACGTTGTTGTTGTTGTTGCTCTGCCTCAAATGCCAGTCCGAGCATCCCGACCCAGCTACTGAAAGACGTGGTGTGAACACGTCCGTCTGCATTTAGGTCGCTGAGTTGATTCCCTGCTGCTGCATCCATAAATAAGTATCTCATGGTTGCATCTGGGCAGCAACCAAGACTAAAGAGTTCTTACCTCACTTCTAACTGTGAGAATGTTTCCATGGCTGGAGTGTGTTTGTTGTGTGACTATGGTGATCTCTAGCTGAGTTAGCGGGCATCCTTACATAACATCACCTGGCGTCTGACACAGATACTCTCACTCGGCTCGGTGCGGACTACAACTGGGTGAAGGAAATAAAACTTTGTTTTCCTCCACAGGTAAAGACTCACCTGCAGGCTCAGGCGGTCAGTGCTATTGCAGTGGGTCACCAGCACAACCATCTGGTAAGAAAGATCATGCAGAGCTACATGACACACGTTTGATCAAGCGTTGAAAATGCATTGTCATCGTTCTAGAAAAGTGCAAATTGAGTCTTTATTTATCCACTCGTGGGGAAACGTGGAGCACAACAGCAGTTAAGGTCCAACTATAAAGCACAGTGTTACCGTACCACCCACCGTGTAGGATCAAAGTTGAGCCACCTTAAAAGAAGGATATAAACCGGAGTATAAAGGCGGTCTTAAAACCGCACAGTTCAGGTTACAGAAAACCGATCCCAGGTGCTCACCGGAGACACATTTACAGGAAACAACCTGAACCTTTCGCCAGGGGGAGGAGAACCAACTCCTCTAGGACTGTTCCAAAAGTTAGAGAGGATACCCGACCCGTAACCGGAGGGTTGCTGGTTTGCACCCCCTAAACTCTAGCAGTCGTTGCGTCCATGAGTAGGACACTTCACTCACCTTACCTGCTAGTGGTGGTCAGAGGGACTGGTGGTGTGTGTAGGGCAGCTTCGCTTTTGGGCTAGGGTTAGGGTTGTGCCCCAGGGCAGCTGTGGCTGCAACGTAGTTCATCACCACCAGCATGTGAATGTGTGTGTGAATGGATGACTGTAGTGTAAAGCGCTTAGGAGTCCTGTGACTCAGAAAAGCGCTACACAAGTGCACGGTTGAACCCCGATTATTTAACTAGCCCTTGTTTTCCTTGTCAGGTGGGCTTTATTTCTCACAGGCAGGTGGCCGTTCTAAGCAATAAAACTAAACATTAAAACTGTGTCAATAAAAGATCTTTAAAATAAAATCATCAGTGTTCTATCGAACACTCTGCAACCCTCTCCTGCAGATTGGGACTGCATGTTGGTCAAAGTGTAGTTAATTGACAATGATCGTTCTCAAGTATTGCCGTCCGTTCTTCCTTCTTCTGTGTCATAAAGCATCAGATATCTTTATTGGTTGATGGTTACGTGCTGATTGGCCAGCCGGTTCAGCAGGCCTGTCGATGCTGTTGAGGCAGAAGGTGGAGTAGCATTTCTTTAGACCACGGGTGTCAAACTCATTTTAGCTAAGGGGCCACATTGAGGGAAATCTAGTCCCAAGTGGGCCGGACCGGTAAAAAAAAAAAATCAGATTGTTTTTTTTGTTTTGTTTTAATACAATCAATATAAAACAAGGCTGGAGCCTGAGGACAGTGTAGTACAAGTACAACACCTGAAGTGTACTTGAAAATTTGAAAAAACTAAAAAAATCAATAAATTTAAAAACATTCCTTAGTGATTCAAAGAGCTTACAGATCACATTGCAAGATCAGTTTCATGCAGCACTTAAAGTATATTTGACTCATTTTACTTTACATCTTTTAGCTTTCACCAGAACATCAATAATAGAAGTCACATCCTGAGTGGCAGCCGACTTCAGGATGTGATTCAAGTTCTTGTGAGAGCCTTGAGCGCAGCTTTGTTTTATTTATACTCATTACAGAGGAAACTTGCTCACAAAGATTCGTTTATTTTCACTCTACATTGTAAAGTATGAAAATAAAGTTTACACAACCATCTCGCGGGCCGGACTTAACCCGCTTGTGGGCCGGATCTGGCCCGCGGGCCGCATATTTGACACCCCTGCTTTAGACCGTCCCTGTAACAGGCTTGGTTCTGATGGTAGCAGACAATCAGCCAAGCAAAAACCTGCAGTGTTTTTTCTTCTCACAACTGTTCTTTTTAACGCAAACCCACAGTTAAAGCTGAATATTCCCCCTTCTATTTAAGTTAAAGTATACAATCTTCACTAAAAACTGAAACTAGCCTTTACCCTGCAGATGCAGTGGTGAGCTCTGGTCAGACATGTTTCTGAGGTTGTGCATGAACATCCCACTCAATGTTCTCCATGCTTTTATTGTATTACAAACAAATGAAATCCTGAAGCCTTTTCAGTTCTACTTTAGAGCAAAACTGCAATGAATATACTCACTTTATGTGCGTCCCACCACTGATGAATGCTTTATTTTGGAGGAATTCTGTGCTGTGCAAATGTCTTGAGTCATCCCTTATTTATCTTTACAGGTGAAAGTAGAAAATTTAAGTACGGTGCATTCATTAATTTATTTCAGTAATTTCAGTAACAAGGGCAGCTACCGTGCTGAAGCACACACACAGAGACAATTTCATTTATTTATTATTGTCCTGCTGTCCCTGGCTCCTGCCGTCTACAGCAGTCCAGTTTTCTCATCTCAGTCTTCCGGCGCCTCCTATCGTACGTGCCAGCACGCCGCCACATTCTTAGACTGAGAGACCATCTAAAGGCTCAGGAACCTCTTGCAGGTGTTTAGGATTCATTAGCTGATCAGTGTGTGACACAATGTTGAATCTTTTCACAATATTCTGATTGTCTGAGGTTTTGAATGCGGGGTTTTCATCAGCTGTAGCCATAGTCGTCACAATAATAACAAATAAAGGCTGAAATATCTGGTTTTGCATGTAATGAGACTGACTCATAGATTAGTTTTACAGTTTAAACTGGATTACTGAAATAAATGAACTTTTGCACAATGTTTACATTTTTAGAATTTCACCTGCATGTTGCTTCTGAGCATCCAGATTTTACTTGTAATCACCTAAATATGTCTTGATGGATGTTTATAACATTTCTGAAGGTCTTTCTAAATTTTTTTTGGGGAACAAAAAGTAACAGAAACACAATTTGTTCATTTCTTCTAGATAAATCTATAAAAGTATATTGAAAAACAACACAGAACAGTATTTAGTCCCAACAATCTAATTATTATAGTTCTGAGCTAAAAACCAGTTCAAGTGCAGATGAGGAGCTACTCAGAAACTTTACAGGACTAACATTTCTTCTTTTATACTCCACTTTTGATGCAGCAGAAGCATAAAATACACCCCTGATGCTCAGGTACAAAGACTGGACAGAGAACGAGTTGAAGGTTGAATTTGGAACAATTTAATAAAAAGCTATGATTAAAAAAAACACCACCTTCACGGAGCATTTAGAGGTGTGCAGAATGAAGGTTCAGCATTTCCTTTAAAAGCTATATATCAATAAAAAAATAATCAAATATTTATTTTGACGGGCATGACACTGGGTTTATGTTTACAACTACCAGCCAGTAGAGGGCACTGTTGCAGGTTGCCAAACATTCGGCTTGGCATGGCGGGGATGGCCCTGTGGAAAATGGAGGTCAAGTCAAGCAGCTGCTTCTGAGCCCAGAAGATGCCGTTGTCCTTCTCAGATGAGGAGCGACCATCAAAGTTCTGAAACCAGATTGAAGCCTACTGCAGATGGACCCAAATAAAAGTTTTCATGTGTTCACAATGAACCTGGTATCCCAACAGCTGGAAAACTTGTCCTGTTGCTTCAACTACAACCTTCCCACGCTAGATGTTGCTTTGGTGTTCGTGTTCCTCATTCCATCCATTCATCCATCCATTTTCTGAACCCACTTGTCCACGTAGGGTCGCGGGGGGGAGCTGGTGCCTATCTCCAGCGGTCAATGGGCAATCAGGCGGGGTACACCCTGAACAGGTTGCCAGTCCATCGCAGATGTTCCTCATTCAATCTTTAAAAAGCAGCCAAAGTCCCCCCCCCCCCCAAAAAAAAGTTGAAGTCCCTTCTGAAGAACTGGTGAGAATACCAGAAAGTCTGGCTGCTTGGGAGCAAAAAGAGTTTTAACACAGAGCCGTAATCATGTTGTGTAGCTGACTATATGCAGACTGGTGAATACAATCGAGCATGAAGTTACTGCTTAAACTCCTTTTGGAATAATGCATCTTCTTTTATTTCTTTTCACCACAGGGAGTGTCTGATGCCTTTGTCTCCATCTACAGACGAGATGGCTTAACTGGTCTTTGGAGGGGGGTGAATGGAGCGGTTCCTCGAGTCACAGTGGGATCAGCTGCTCAACTGGCAACCTTCACCTCAGCCAAGGACTGGGTGTCACACTCTCAGGTAGCTCCGGTAAACCCAACTAATCAGCTGACAACATGTGCTGACCTGTGTGTGTGTGTGTGTGTGTGTGTGTGTGTGTGTGTGTGTGTGTGTGTGTGTGTGTGTGTGTGTGTGTGTGTGTGTGTGTGTGTGTGTGTGTGTGTGTGTAGTGGTTCAGCTCCAACAGGTGGCTCACGGCGCTGATAGCCGCCGCGGTCAGTGGAGTTGCTGTGGCCATCACCATGACGCCGTTTGATGTCATCAGCACGCGCCTCTACAACCAGCCAGTGGATGAGCTTCGAAGGGTGAGTTTCGTCAAAGCAGTCCCCATCTTGCATCGGGTGATGAGGTCACAGCGTTGGGTTTGTTTGCTGTGCAGGGGCGCCTGTACCAGGGATTTTCTGACTGCATGCTGAAAGTGTGCCAAGCTGAGGGTCCGCTGGGATTATATAAAGGCATGGGCCCTGTTTTCTTGCGACTGGCCCCTCACACCGTGCTCAGCATGCTGTTCTGGGATCTGATGAGGCAACAGGCTGTCAAAGACCTCTAGAGCCAGACTAAAGTACTAGAGATCTGTGCCTGGAGCGACGACTCCTCTACTGATGCAGAAAACATCCTCTGGACATTTTTCTTTCACACACTCAGACACTGGTACCACTTTTTTGTCTTAAAGCTCGACCTGTTGTTTTACCAATAGTTTTTATATTTATTGTGTTAAAACTCAAACACCGGAAGTGTTTCCAGAGGTAAGATCAGTTTGTTCCTTGAGCTAAGTTAGTGATGGCTTCATATGCGACTTCCTTCTGGAAACTGTCCTTCTGTTCAGGGAAACTTGTTCTGAAGAACTTAGCCTCAGTCTTTGATTCACATCTGGTTAAACACCCGAAAGTTGCAGATCAAGTTTAGCTTATTTAAAAAACTGCAAAGCGTAGATTTTGGTTTTTGTTTGTCGGGCTGAGAGCATCTCAGCCGGGAGCCTTGACGAGAGGAAGTTGGAAACCGGAGGAGCGTGTTCTAATGACTCATCTTTGAGTTGTTTTTCATTTTTAAAACCAAGGAAAAACTGCTGCTTTTTTGTGTTTTTATGGGTGACTCTACTTGCCTTGTCATTTCTTTGTAACAAAAGAAATATGTATTTTTAAATTTTATTCACTGCAGCTGTGGAGCCACATTGATTTGAGGCCTTTGTTACAGCTTATCAGGGGATTTAGGATTTTTAACTATAAATCATCAAAATAAAGATGGTTTTTGTAAAAACAATTTTGTTCTCTGCTCCATTATTTAATTTTTTTTATTTTGGCAGCACCATGGATGTAACATCTAAAATATGTGAACAAACTAAAAAAGGATTAAAAAAAATCTAATGACTTAAAAATCTAATTCAAACTAAATCACAGGAAATATGAATTTGAGCTGAAATGAGTTTCATTATAAAATACTTATTTGCTTTTAATCATCTTTTGTTCGGAGGACTTTCAGCTTCTTTTATCAGGAAATGATTGGAATGCCAAATCCGTTTGACCTTTGAACCTTTACAGAAGCTTGGATCAATGAGACCAGAGCTGAAGACCTTAGTTTTTTAACCAAGGTCTGATTCAACAGGCTGACGTGGTTTCAGGCTGAAGAAAACCATAAAACCTTTAATGTTGTTGGGATTAAAAGGAAAGGATGAAGATCTTTTTCCTGTTTTCCTGGATCTTGGACCTTTTTCAGTGGACGCCTTTTAATTTGAATCCGGTCGAAGGCTTTTTCCAGGGTCAGCTGACACGATTCTTACTCCAGCAACATTTTAAACGAACATTTCCTGTAAAGTAGTGACGTTTCTTCACTGTTGTGCTGCTGCTTCTGTTTTCAAGGGCTGATCGGGGCGTGTGGAATATCTGTTCTATACAATCTGATGAGAATTTACTACTTTATTCAATCATGCAGGTGAGTTAGTCGTTGAATTTTAGATCACAGACTTTGAAGGGCAGTTGGGATGGTCCTGATTTTGTTTCTCACTCAGTGATTCTGACCGTGGAAGTAAACGGACGTCGTCCAAAACAAGGAATCCTCTGAGGAGGAAATGGAGAGCATCTCTCCAGTTCTGGTGCCTGACTACCCTCCTGTCGTTGGTGGGACTGAGGGTTTCCTCCCTCATAGTGCTGGAGTTTTTGCTCAGGGCTGCTTTTGCGTGCATGTCCACCGCACAGGTGAGTCTCCTGACTGATGGAACATCACATCAAATCACATCAAATCAAAGAAACTTTATTAATCCCAGAGGGAAATTAGAGTTTTGGGATACACAATTCAGAGATCAGACATACATGGGCAAGACACATGACAAGAATTGGTGACTGTGGTCATTCGCAACCCAAGTCGCGCTACCTTAATAGAGATGAGAGGGTTTACATGAGGATTGGTTCAGGTGGAGGGAAAAAAAGGCACTTCAGAGCTACCCTCCATAAGGAGGGAAGCTTTGCTCTGCAAAAAAAAAAAAACACCTCAAACATATATGCAACAGACTTCACTTCACTTTTGATTTGTCTTCATTTGTGCTTCAGGATTCTGGTGTGAGAGGTCTGGACTTTCTCCTGATCCAGAGCCAGTTTTCACTGGGCTGCAGCCTCACCTGTGTTCTGGCCTTCCTCCATCAGGGGGCTCCTCACAGCTCCCTCGGTTTGTGTCTGGCTGCTGCTCTCAGCTGGGCTGTGGCCTCCTACAGCAGCAGTCTGTGGGCCCACGTGGCCAGACTCTACCCACTGCACAGCAAACAGCAGTACTGTGGGAAATGCATCAGCCTGTTAACCTCAGGGCACACCATGCTGGCCTCTCTGCAAAGACTGGTTATCTTGACCTTTGCTGTAGCAGCTGTGGCTTCTACCTCGGTGGTTTATGAGCACTTCTTATCTCACAAGGATGCTATGAAGTTCTGGACCCCGCTGACACTCTGCTACACCATGTTGGTGGTTTATAACCAAGGTGACGGTCAACGCCGCTGAACAGGGCAGTCTAGAGATCCCAGAGGCTTAGCAGACTTTCTGTGAAATCCCAACAAATAAAAGATGCATTCAACTTGACAGCTTAAAAGTTTAAAAATGAAAATAGACAAGCAATTTAAATGTGGTCAAAGAAGTTTAAAAAAAACCTAACTAATTTGTAAATATGCTGTTTACTGAATGGACTGTTGACCTTTTCCGTATCAGACATTTGGCCTACCAGTTGTGACAGAACTGGTGTTTTGGCGAAGGCTGCGTTCCACATCTGTAACAGACGGAAACAAGCTGAACGTCCTTCCAAATGGAATGCGGACTTTGAAAAGAACTCTAAATTATTAGCTAAGTTTTTAGTCAGTCGTTTTTTTAAGTGGAAACTTTTGCTGATTGTAAATATTTAAATAGGTTGCTTGATTTTTAAATAGTATATTACCATTCAAACTAGTTAACAACAAAGGCAACATTTTGACCACATTTAATAAACCGAATTATATTTTACATACGTTTTTTTTGCAGGAAATCCACTGCAAACATTTTCAAGATAAACAGTCAAAATACCAGCTAAAAACATAATAACACAAAATAATAATTAGCCCCTCTTAGCTAACAGGATGTTGAATGTTTTACACTTAACTGAAATAAAAAAAATATGGCTAACAGCTGGTTTTCAGAAAGAAAAACACTTTTGGTCATCAACTATTTGGAAATTTGTCAGACAAAAATACAAAGAAAATTGTGGACTATAGATTTAAAATAATGGCATTAAACAATTAAATGTTTTTGATGAGTGATCAACTGAAAATTAAATAACATTTTCTCAGAAAGACCGGTCAGCTATGTTCAGTGCCCCCCTCAACAAACAAACAAACAAACAAACAAACAAACACTACCTAGATAAAAAAGGTGCATAGTAAGTATTAATGCAGTGAGTTTCATGTTATTTATATTGTATTAAACCCACACAGCGTCTATATTCTAACACTTCTGCTCTCATCATAAATTATGCCAGTGTGCCTTTTCATTAATTGCTGAATTTCACCCAACCATTCATCAGAGATCAAGCTAGTCACAGATGGTGTCATGGTGCTGTTCGGCCAATCAGCACGGGTCCGGGACGCTCCAAATATGGGTGTGTCTGAAGAACCGAAAAACTGCCTTCCTTTAGCTCGGTCTCTTCTCATATTTAAAGTCGGATCTCAAAAACGATTGATGGTAAGTTAATGAACCTCTCACATGACACAGCTGCCTAGTTAAGCACTTCTATTTGCTGTGTGTTAAACTGTATGAAGTTGGTGAAATTATAGCATCAAATCAAAGCTGCCATGTTGTGTCATATGCCCTGAACAAGTTCAATGTTTTATATTTATACGCAAAATCAAAATTTTTGATACATATTCTTCATATGGGAAGTAATAATATTGAATGTATTTTGTTGTTTCTTGCTAAGATTTCCATGGAAATTGGAGGACGAGTGACGAGGGATGATGATGATGATGATGATGATGATGATGATGAAGAGGAGGAAGATGGCACTGAGGCTAATCTTTTTTTATATAACAGTTGAAAATATTCTAATCTATATTTGATCTATATTGTTCAGTAACATTCAGAAATGTTCTGCTGTAGTCTGTTTTTGTAAACTTTTGGGTAAAGAGAACATTCTGTATTATTCTGCAGCTGTAGTGTTCTAGAATGTGATTCTAATGATATTGTTCTGCATTAATGTTTATTGCACTTGTTCAGGGCCAACCACCGTATATGAACACTTTATTTTCTGTGGATTTCTGCATGAAAATAAACATTTTTGAAAATTGCAACAGCAAAAGGAAACTTTTGTTATGAACCACAACAGGGCAGCAGTAGCTCAGCAGGTTGAGCGGGTTCGATCCCGGCTCCGGACAGAGAATCCTGCTGTTGTGTCCTTGGGCAAGACACTTAACCCACCATGCCTGCTGGTGGTGGTCGGAGGGACCGGTGGCGCCAGTGCTCGGCAGCCTCGCCTCTGTCAGTGCGCCCCAGGGCAGCTGTGGCTACATCGAAGCTCATCATCATCAGTGTGTGAATGTGTGTGTGAATGGATGAATGATACACTGTAGTGTAAAGCGCTTTGGAGTCCTTACTCTGAGAGGCGCTATACAAGTGTGGGTCATTTATCATTTATCATTTAACGGCACTCTGGGATTTACATTTTAAACTTACTTGCCGTAAAGGGTTCAAATGAAGGCAGGAACTGATGGTAACAAAATGCTTCATCATTTCCAGAGGAACAACACCGGCTGACGGTCTCAGAGACCCTCTTGCGCACTGTAGTGGTGCGACTGGGAGGCTTACTGGTGCTCATGCTGGCAGTGGGAACCTGGTCTGATGTGCTTCACGTCCTCGTATCTTTTATAGGAGAAGGAGTTTGTCTGCTGTCTTCTGAGGATCTGCTGCAGGCCGCTTTAAAGGTTTATTACTCTCTTGGCTTTGCACAACCGAGCCCAAAGGTTAACAGAAATGTGACTAACGATTCTGTTCCAGGAAGAACATGAAACCAGCTTCAGCAAAGAAGAACGAAGATTTAGTCCCAGCACAAAGACAGGAAAGTTCCTGTTAGATGACAGTTAATGGGATGCTTGCCTCAAACGCCGGTGACCTTTTTACACCTGGATGTGCTGATGAACGGAACAGCAGTTAAAAATGAGAATTTTGTGAACTTTGATGTTGAAATTCTTGGAAAATAAAAAATCCAACACAAAAAGGTGCTCGCCGTGTGAATCCGTTTCCTGCTACTTAAACGTAACGCCTGAAAGCGTGCTGTTGGAGAGGTTCACAGGGTTTAATGAGGATTTGGGCTGTTGAGGGGGTGGAGCGTGGTGGTCTTGGGTTTGTATCATCTGTGGGCATGCTCCTTCCTGCAGCCGTGACATCACTGCAGCATTCCTTTCCACAGAGCTGGAACAACAGAGACCCCCATCACTCTCCTCATCGCTGGCTCCCGTCAACCCTCTCTGCACATTCCTGCTTCACTCTGACCCACATACGGTCGGGTTCTGTCTCCAACCTCCTGCTTGACTTTTAGGCCTTCTGCTGATATACTAAGATCTCGTTTCACAATAATTATTCTCCCTGAAGCTACGTCTGCACGTCTGAGCACCAAACCTCCCCCCCGAAGAGTCTGATAAAGCCCACTGTAATCAAACTGTGTGTTCGGGTCTGGACATCTGTGGGGCCCAAATGGAGTTAATACCACAAGATTACTGATAGTGAGTCAAGGCTAAAGTGATATAATGTGGGGGAAGGGAAGCAGGAAAGAGGGAGAAGAAAAGGGGAGGCAGCCCCGACGAGGGAAGTAAGAAAAGTAAGGTTTACAGAACAATAAGCTGCACAAGAAAGAGAAGAAGAAAGGTTTGATGTAAAGAGCGAGGCAGGTAGAGTCACATCCTGCTGGCATGCAGAGATAAAAGTGGGAGGTGTCTCCGCTTGTCCACGTCAAGGTGAAAGCCTTTCACTCTATGCAATTGTAAAAACACTACCTTTGTCCTTTTGGAGTGACTGCACAGCTATTGCACAACTAAGCGTGGGTGTGTGTGTGTGTGTGTGAGCGTGTAGTTGCTTGAGAGTTTCTGTGATTGCCAAGTTTTCATAGCGGATGAATGTGTCATAATTTTTACTGAACTTTGCCAGAGATTAGTTGTTCACTTTTTATGGTCAGGAGGGAGGCTGTGCTGTCACTCAGCCAGAGGAGGAGGAGGAGGAGGGGAGAGCTGAGGAAGGAGGGGAGATAGAGGAGGAAAAGGAGTGGCTTTTCTGCAGATAGTCACCCCTCTCCACCGGAGTAAAGTCTTCTCTCAGAGGGAGCTTGTGGGAGTGAGAATAATCGGGAAAATTTGAGATACCAAGCAAGGAAGACAGAGGAAGGAGAAGGGAGAGGCACATTTTAGTTTCAGGTACGTCAGAGCACTTCAGCGTGAGTGGGTTTGAGAGAAACAGATGATACAGATCTCTGCTTTTTACATCTTTAACCATTCATTATGGGTTGTGAGTTGAGCTGCGAGAGTGTGAACGGATTTCTGCAGAGATGACAAAGACTGTTGGTGAACGAATTCAATCTAAACATTTTTCTAGATCATTGTTCTGAGCCTCTGCCAGGCTGTACGGAGGTTCCATACAGCCATGGCATCAGCAGCTCCACCAAAAAGGATGGTGTCCTCTGTCTTCATCACACTGGCGTCTCCTCATCGAGCCACCGTGTCACAGCAACAACCTGCCCTCCAGGCCAGCACTGGCCCGGTTAGAGACAAACAGCACAACACTGTCAGAGCCACCCCAGGTGAAAACGCACCTGTTTACAGATACAAGAAACAGGACCAACCATCACCTGACACCTACAGCTCAGTTAATAGCAGAGACTGGACTCATGGAAGGCCCTCAACATCATCATCATCATCAGACCCTTTGAGCCCTAAAGTGGCCCCCAATGGATCCACCAAAGCACAGCTGCAAGAAGTAAAGGACCAGACAAAGAGGATCATTCCCGGTATTCATAGTGAAGGTTGGCTAAAAACTTAACTATGTGAAATACTCCTCAAAGTTTACTTTGACTATGACCCCATTTGGTCGGTCACGCTTCTATGAAGGGAGACTGCATTCATTTATGTGTATAATTATGCAATAATCCAACTTTTTTGGAACCACTCCCAATTATTTTGAACACGTCCCTAACTTTGATGACAGTTGCGTGAATTTCAGCTGTCGGACTTCAACTTTTCCTTTGTCTGGACAAACTTTTTGTGGAGATAAAGGCTACAAGTTGTTGGAAAATGTGGAAAAAGGTGTTTTTCCACGTGTATTATTGGTATACTTTAAAGGTGCAATTTTATTGTATTCAATTTTACTGTGACTAGTCACCAAAAAGTTTAATGTCTCAGTCATGTTGGCTGCAGGATGTCAGTTTTCCTTCCTCCAAAAGGAAGAAAAGGGATGTAGACTGTGTTTACAATCTGGGAGCCCACATGTTAGCCGAGTCTACGCGAGCTAACGCTGCAGCACTGGATTTTGTAGTTCGACACCGGCTGGCAAAACGCAGCAGCGCCTTGTAAAGATCCTAAGCCAGTTACAGGTGCTACCCAGAAGTTATTTCTTGTACCCCTAAGAAGTCACTGCATATTTTTTGTTTTACTCTAATATCTGGTAAAGAAGGCTAGAGGCTAACATTGAGCTAATAAAGTTAACAGTGAATTAGAAACCCATAATTGTCTCAAAATAAATATCAAGCTACTTTTTCAGTTGCAAACAACTTAACATTACAGTGAAATGTATTTATTTGATTATCAATTTACTGCGTATGACTCGTCATCACGCATCATCAAGAATCTTCTGGTGCTAGAGACCGTGGCTGTGAACAGCCATGAAACTGTGGGAAAGTGGTGAGAAAATAACTGTTTTGAAAATGGGCTGCAGTAATTGAATGTGACCACAGGATGTCCTTGTTACTTAATTCTTACATAATGCACCTTTAAGGCCATGTAAGTAAAAGAAAATGTACAAGTATTTTTTCCTACTATTTCATATTTTTTTCTTTGCCAAACAGAGCTCTTACCTCCTCCTCCTACTGATGTACCGCCCTCCTCTCCTGGAGGAAAGCTCTCTGAGGAGTTATCACTTCCACCACCACCTCAAACATGTCTCCTTCATCTCCAGAGCCAAGACCAGCATCCAGTTAGCAACAACAAGGTATTCAAACTTCCTGCTAATGTCTGTAAAAAAAAAGTAAATTGTGCTCCGTAATCTCTATATAATCTACAGAAAGATAAGGAAAGTGGTTCTGAGGCTCAACAGGATGTCTATTGTTTTTTCTGGTCCATTTTCTAGTCTTCCTGTGGTTTTTGTTCTTTACAGGATTTTTTTTTTTACCCAGCACAATTACGGCCTCTCCAGCTGTAAGTCATTTAATCAACGTTGTTGCAGTTTATTAGTTCAAAAGCCACAAGTGATGACTAGAGATCCTGTCAGTAAGATTTAAAGGTGTGGTTCACTGAAAAGCCATTTTTAAATTACTTCTGATTATAGTCGGTTAGTTTTTCATGCAGGCTGAACATGAAAATAGTCTCCGACACCCATTAGCTTCTGATAGAAAATAGAAGGTGAAACCTTACGATTTGAAAATCTTGACAGATCTACATCACACTGTCACTGAAAGCTAGACTCACCCATCCTGACACACGACAGGGAAGGCTGGAAACAGCAGAGAATGTCTCAGTTAACCATTAGCATTAGCCACTCCACCACACAGCAGAACTCTTTCAGGCTTCTGTTATTTGTGGAGATAAAACATCAACGTCGCAGAGCACAGTCAGTGGCAGAGTCACAGTGTCGTTAGCCAATCAGAGGCGAGATGTCCAGACATCAGGAAATAGGACTCCAAACCCTGCCGCCTGAAGCTCAACTCTGATGTGGCTCACTAGTTCCTGAAACAGGGGCACCAGGACACTCATTCCTACTAGAGACACTGCAAATGTATTGATTAAATGAGTGAACCACACCTTTAAAGCTCTTAAAAAACGCAGAGTATAACTTTACTGACATAGCTGTGGATGACCAAAACAAATCTGATAAAATCAAGCTCAGATCTTTTTGCTCTCCATTATCAAACTCAGTTGGCGATAATCTTTGCAGGTCCCTTCGTACCCCCCCCCCTATATTTATCTCAGTTTGATGAAGTTTTACATGAATGGGATTTTAATTTAAGGTGGAGAGATGCACGCCATCTGGTTGGTCGACCGGAGATTATGAAACCCATGAGATCCTTCAAAACAGCCAAGACACAAACAGGGAAAGCAAAGGTACCACCCACACCCTTTAAACGGTACAGAGATCATAACCCTTTATGAACTTTTGCTATTTGTTTCAACTGCAGACGTGTGCGGTTTTTGTCGGAAAACTGTAGCCTTTCCTGAACCTGCTTTAGAGGCCCTGAACAGAACCTACCACGAAAGCTGCTTCCACTGTAGATCCTGTCACGTCCCCCTGGCTGGTAAACAGTACTACAACAAGGCAGGAATCCCACTCTGTGAAAGCTGCTACCAGGTCTGAGTCACCATAATCTCACTTAGAACCACAACACACACACACACACACCTATACACACACAAACTCTGGAAAAGTTGTTCACACCTGCAGCTGTCATGTTGTGGTGTAGGTATCTAACCCACGACATACAGAATCAGTTCAGAGGCGGTGGTGAAAGTTGTAAACAAATAATTTATTAAGAGGAACCAAGGGAGCAGCAAAACGTAGCTGATATCTTCAACGGGGTCGGGAGCGGGAATCTGCAGACCGGCGTAAGTTAGGTCCAACTCGAGAAAAGGGGAAACGGGTAATATTGAATGTGCAGAGAACTTAGTCTGTAGGAGGGAATTGCTCGGGGTGGGGGTGGGGGGGGGGGGGGTGGGGGCAGCAATTGTTGGTCTGGTCTGGGTAGATGATGGTTTCTTGGAACGGGGGGGTTCCTGAGTTGGAGGTGGAGGGAGCTGAGCGAGGAGAGGGTGCGAATCCAGGTGAGAGTTGGTGGGCTACTGGAGGTGGAGTTGACCAGGGAGTAAACCGAGAGACGAGCGGAGATGAGTTTCACCAGAGTTCAGCCAGTCAGAGATGGGAGTGGAGGTTTTGTCTGAAAACAGTAACAGAAGATCAAAAAATGCAAAAATCCAAAGTTCAAAAGGCACGAGAGCTCAAAGCTAAAAACACTCAAATGTTCAATCTCTAGATGGCTTAAAAGTACCCAAGGAAGAGTAATTATCCAGCGAAGTGATGGGGTCTCTCAGCAGCTTAAATACTCCCTGGCCGGCTGATGAGCTGATCGTCTACAGCTTGGCCACCTCCAGACACGCTCACCTGCAGCGGGAGACTCAAAACCAAAACACAGATGGCAGGAGGAAACCCAGACCATGACAGCAGCTGCATCTTACACTGCCGGGCTCAACAAAAGTGGCAACCTGGATCTATTATTTTAGGGTTGCTGCAGTTTTCAGTAACATTATTAGCTCAAAAAAGGAAGGCAGATACCTGAAAACACTGAATATCCACGTTATTCCATCATAATTTTCACTCATGGATTGGCCACCAGAGTCTGGACCTTAATACCCTGTAGTTGTGCTATGATGACTCTGAGCAGTGGTCAAACTCTCCCATCATCAATATAAGATCCTGGTGAAAAATTAATCCAACACTGGATGAATATAAATCTAGCTAAGCTGCAGAAACTTCTTGAAACAGCAAATGGGAATATGTGCTGTAAGCGTTCCAATTACATATTAGGTGCATATTAAGTGCGTGACCTTGTTGTTATTTTGGTTGGGTAGTGTATGGAATTGATAAATATTTAAGACAGTTGAGGAGTTTTACAGCTCTAAACTGAGATTCTCGTTCTAAGGTTAAAAGTGTGACTCAATTACGAAAAACAGACCAAATGCCAAGCAAGGTTCATTGGCAAAAACAGACAAAAGCCATTTTTAATCAAAATCACCAAATTTTATTTTCACTTACATTTCCTTTTAAAATGCATTAAAGCTGAGTTCTCTCTTTCAGCAAATGAGCTCTTGTAACAAACTGACGAAAACCAGTTTAATTAGATTAAAACGTTTTTATTTGTTTGTTTCCCCCTAAAAATTAGACTTTATTTTCCTAACATTTTTCAACCCTTGATTTTTTTCCCCCTTGAATTTTAGGCAAGTTTGGAGCTCTGTTGGTCTTGCGGTGAGGTCATCACAGATCACATCATCCGCGCCCTAGAGCGAGCGTACCATTCTTTCTGTTTCACCTGCAAAACGTGCAAACAGCAAATTGGTGAGCAAGCATTTGCTCAGGGAGAAGTCGGAGAAGTTTACTGCCTCAAGGACTACTACAAGTAATCACTGATGAAAAGAACTATTAACTAAAAAAATAGAATTAAAGGTGTGGTTGACTGAAAAAACATTTTTATAATCAGTCAGAGTTTTTCATGCAGGATGAACATGAAAATAGTCTCCTACACGTATCCCCTGCATCAGCTTCTGATAGAAAATAGATGGTGATTCACTAGGTTTAGAAAATCCTGACAGATCGACCTTACAGTGTCACTAAACCTTCATGAGCTCACTGATCTTGACTCATGACGGGGAAAGCTGTTGTTGTTTAAACTTCTGGGAATCAGCAGCGGACTTCTCGGCTGGTTTAAGCTAACTGTTAGCATTAGCATCTTCACCACATGACATTTGTGGGTATAAAACCAGTGGCATGTCCAGATCTTTTAAAATGGGGTGGCCCATGTGAGGCACTACTTTGTGCACGGGTGGCACCAACGGTAATGCTTTTTTTTTTTTTACCTCAAGCCTTTTGTAGACAATGAAAAACCAATTTAAAGGGAATTCAGTGTGGTGGCACCTGGGGGGTGGCCAATCCAGTTCCAAGGGTGGCATTTGCTACCCCAGGCCACCCCCTGGACACGCCCCTGTATAAAACATCCACGTTGCAAGTCAGTGATTGAGTCACGTTGCTGTTACCCAGTCTGAGGCGAGATGTCCAAACATCAGGAGATAAAACTCCAAATCCTGCTGTCTGAAGCTCAGCTGTGGTGCAGACAACTTTTAGGTCTGAGAAAGGGTGCACTGGTATATACCCCACCCCCAACAACTTACAAGGCATTTGTTCTTCCACTGCAAATGTATTGATTAAACGAGTCAACCACTCCTTTAACGAATGTTTTATTTTGAAGCCCTTCTCTTACAAATTTGATGCAAAAAACATCAAATGAATGAAATATGTTTCTCTCCTTGAAATAAGGAAATATGCCCCGAGGTGTAGCGCCTGCAACCATCTGATTATTCCAAAAGACGATGGCACTGACAGCTATACTGTTGAGTGTTTGGGGCACTCTTACCATGAGAACTGCTACAGATGTGAGGTAAGCCTCCACTGATGATACACTGAAAATCCTGCATGTGATTTATTCATCGCTATCATCAACTCTTTCTTGTTTGCAGGTCTGTGCCATCCAACTTTCCCCTGAACCAAACGAGAACGGCTGCTATCCTTTAGATGGGAAAATCCTTTGCAAGGCTTGTCATGTGGATTTGGTGTCTGAGCAGCAGTAACATCAACCTCACAGACTCAGATAAACAGCAAGCAACGGAAAACCAACCTGCAACCAGCTTGTGAAGTTTAACAGAAAAAAAAGCTGTGCATATAGAAAAGCATAGAAATGTCACACCTCCTTGAACAGAACATTTAATATCTTTACAATATATCAAGCTTTCTGAAGATTCTTCAGTTCTTCTCTTACACTTGATTGTTTTGCACTCATAAAAACATTTATGCAACTGGCTTTACAAAAATGATACGAGTGAGCATGATCTCAGCTGAAATGCTGTTGATCAATCACTTAACGAAAGGTCTAAACATAAAAGTAATATAAAATTATGCCAATCAAAGCCGAGTATTTAAATGTATTTTATTCAAGGCACTTGCAAGACACAGATCAACCTAAACAGATCAACCAAAAACAGATCCTGGTTTAGAAATAATAGAATATTCACACTGATTTGACATAATGGCCTGTTACTCAAAATGGCTTGTGGGTTTAATAATGTATTTGTATTGAAAAATATGTATAAAATCATTTTCAGAGGAAGTCTGGTTTGCTGTTTGTGGTTTGATTGGCCGTGTAAATATTGTTTCCCCAACACATAATTTACACTTAGATCCATCAACACCCATCTGGTGTTCACCCTCTTCACCTCTTTTGCCTTGCTGCCATCTCCTTCCCTCCTTTCCTGTTTCCTCTGGCTCATCATTTTTGACTCCTGCTCTTCTTCTTCTCCCAGATCTGTACCAATGCTCTCCTCCGTTGTCTCTGATTCATTGCTCTCTCTTGGGTCCTCTCCTCCTTTAGCACTAAGTTTGACTTTTAACTTCTCACCTGGCAGTTAGGATTAGGTGCGCACATACAGTGTGTAGTGGAAGAAGAAGAAAAAACTTCTACACTTCAAGATGAAGTGCATTTTGAATGCATTTACAATAGTAATTTTAATTATTTGAAATTCTACAAAGGAAATGCTTATTTATACGTCTTTATTGTGTGGGGAAAAACACTGTTATTGTGTAATTATTACCATTACATTTTATACTTTGCGCACCACACATCGGAAATCCCTGTTCTGGCCTAATATTGAAAGGGGAGAGGGGTATACTGGGGCCAGCTGCACTGTTAAGCTCGAACAACACTATGGAGAGGTGGCGCATCTTGCCAAACTGCAAGATGTCTCGCTGCAGCAGAACACGTAACACCACGAGCAAATGCTTGCCGAAAAGCAGACATCACTAAAAACCAACGGATATCCAAAACAACAACGATGAAAAGAGAAACAAGCGTCACCCTTAACATTTATTTTATTCGACTCCAAACCGAACTCCAAGAGTGGTCCACATGTTCCTGCGTGTAGCCTCCACTGTTGCTAATTCTGCTCTTGCCGTTGTATTCTTGCAACTAGATTTTTGTGTCACTCCTTGGGTCCATTTTCATTGGTCGATTGGAGACAAGAAATGTAGGTTTTCAAGCAATGCTGGAAAACCGCTGGAGGACAACTTTGGTCACAAGAGTGCTCAAAAAGCTGCTGCTGGGCCAGTCACACTGGTTGGCGACAGTTTTGCAAATCACCCTCAGATTTCACCATTTTTTGTCACAACTCTTTTCATGACAAGGAATCTGTCTAGGATGGCTGAAAAATGCACAGTGCAGTCCAGGCTTTAGAGAGGCACGTTTCAAAGGAAAACTACAAAGCCTTTAGGTGTTTTTACATTTTTGTGAGTAATTACAACTATAACAACAGCCATTTAGTTGCAACAGCTTTTCAATTACTTTCTAAACTAGGGCGGCCATGGCAGAAGAGTTAATCAGAAGGTTTGATCCCCACTCAGTCTGTTGTTGTCGCTGTGGGCAAGACACTTAACCCAAATTGCCTGCTGGTGGTGGTCGGAGGGACTGGTGTTTCCAGTGTACGACGGCCTCCCCTCTGGCAGTGCGCTCCAGGCATGGACGTAATTTTGGGGGGAGACAGGGGGGACATGTCCCCCCCACTTTTTCCAAAGTCAAGTTTAGACCCCTGCACTTTTTACCATCCAAAAACAATATTACGCTATATTAAAATGACACTGGTTGAGCTCTAGGACCAAGAGGGAAAACAACCGTTTGTGTTGAAGCCCGTTTCCCATTAGAGCATACTGTAAAGACCCCCCCCCCGTCCCCCCCCCCCCCCCCCCCCCGTCCCCGGTGTCCCCCCCCACTTCTAAAGTGAAAATTACGTCCATGGCTCCAGGACAACTGTGGCTACATTAAAGCTCATCACCACCAGGGTGTGAATTTGTCTGTGCTTAGGTAAATGAATCATTGTGCTGTAAAATGACTGGGGGGGGGGGGGGGGGGGGGGTTCTAGGACTCTGGAAGATGCCATACCATATACAGGCCATTTATTTAACTATTTTGCTGAAATTGTGTTATCTGAAAGTAACCTGAAAGTATTTATCTAAATATATCTTTTCAATTTCAGACAAATGCATTCACATGGTTTTGTTCCATATCTCGCATTGAGCTAAATTATCACAAAAAATCTGTACTTATTGATGTTTTGGCCCTGGTTTGCTGTGAGGGTGACACCATCCCTAGAACCGCCTCTGCGCAGTCAAAGGACAAGAAAAACTCTGCCTTCCTGTCGGGAAGCCCAAGGCGCTGAACATGGTACATGAGAAATGTGAAACATGATGAATAAATCGAAAATAAAAGCAATTCAAATAGTGCAAAAAAGGTAGCACATTAAAGTAGAAAACAAATGGGTAAAACACGGGACAAAGAGACCAATGAAAACAGGGAAATAAAATCAACGTAAAAGAGGGCCAAATTCAAGCACGTTCAGGGAACGCCAAGCGGAGGAGGTGGGTTTTTAGGTGACTCTTAAAGGCTGGCAGAGATGGGGACAGCCTAACTGAGGGTGGCAACTGGTTCCAGAGTGACAGAGCTAGGACTGAGAAAGCCCGGTCCCCGCGAGTACGACACCTAGAACGAGGGACAGCGAGCAGGCCTTGGTCAAAGGAGCGCAGAGCGCGTGATGGGGAATGTCTGTTCAGGAGTGTGGCCAGATAGGGGGAGCACCACCCTGGATGAAATTGTAAACAAAGACGAGGAGTTTAAAGTGTGAACGACATGGACGTAATTTTTTTTGGGGGGGGGGGGGGGGGGCAGGGGGGACATGTCCCCCCCACTTTTTTCAAAGTCAAGTTTTGTCCCCTGCACTTTTTACCATCCAAAAACAATATTACGCTATAGTACATTGACCCTGGTTGAGCTCTAGGACCAAGCGGAAAACAACCGTTTGTGTTGAAGCCTGTTTCCCATCAGATACCCCCCCCCCCCCCCGTGTCCCCCCCCACTTCTAAAGTGAAAATTACGTTCATGGTGAACGATAACAAACCGGAAGCCAGTGCAGTGAGGTCAGAACCGGACTGATGTGGTCCCGTTTCCTGGTCCCAGTCAGGAACCTGGCTGCGCTGTTCTGCACAACCTGTAGGCGACGCAGCGATGACTGAAACAACCCTGCATAGAGAGAGTTGCAGTAATCAAGCCTAGAAATTACAAAAGCATGGAGCTTTTAGTGCATTTATTAACTTTTTGCTTATATTCTCGCTTTCTTCCTCTGCCAGCTTGCCTATGAAGATTAAGCTCAAGTTTGTTTACTGTTTCCTTAAAGAGACCATAAAGATGAAAAATATTCTGTTTATGAAAGAAAACGTGACCTCAACGATGCGCGTGAACGCCCTCGCGGTGCAGCTCGCACCCAGCGCACAGGAGCGAGGCGGATGCGCGTGCACGCGGGTCGGGACGAGGACGCAAGCAAGCTAAACGGGGGAGCTGGAGCAGCGAGCAGGCCTAGATCGTTCACGGCATCAAGCGTCGGTCATTTTGTTCAGGCGGACCTCCGACCGGCAGGGATTAGAAACGTGCCAGATCATATGTGTTTGAACGGGGAAATAAAATTGCAAGATGGTTCGGGAAACCAGACACCTTTGGGTGGGAAATTTACCCGAACATGTTCGCGAGGAGAAGATTGTGGAGCATTTTAAACGGTATGTTACGCAAGAGAAGCTATGTTTGTGAAGCCGCGCGCGTTGGCTGCAGTACTACTGGGAGCCTGCTACCCTTGCTAACCATGCTAACATTAGCATTTTTAAGTTTGACTAACCAAGGGATTTATTGTGTTTGGTATGCTTTTTAAAACACCCGACCAATGCTCTTTAAAACAGAAATCCACAAAAGAGAGTCACCTAAACGCAAAGCTCGGTCATTTATTTTCTTCTGCTAACTTTTGCTAACATCAGAAGGCATTTGGCTGGGTTTGCTAGCCACCGAGCTTCCACCCAGCCAACCATTTTGTGGGAAGTCGACAGGTTTTCGTGATCTGTACAGCCAAAAGACAACCGACGTTAATCGAAATGCAAATCAAAATAATTACAAAGCCTTCGCCTCAAAATCCGCTGGGAATCTTTGACATGTTCAAGTAAAGTCTCGACTTCGTGCTGTAAATACGAAAACGCAAGAAAACCCAACTCTTAATCGTCAAGTAAAGTGTTAGCTAGTAGAGCAGTTTTCGGACTTTGTTGCGTTAGTGTTTTTGTTGGAAGTTGCGAACCGGGTTGTACTCACAGAAATACTCTTAAAACGAAGGCTAACACGAGACACCCACAGCGGTGTGATGCTGTTAACGTTTTATTTTATGTGCTATCTAATGAAAAGGCCATGTCAGTCGTCAACAACCAACAAGCATTCTGCACGTCATAGCGTTTCAGGACAGGTGTTCGGGTTTAAAAAGTGAACATGTTTATGCATCAATGAAAATTTTGACCGCGTAAATGCTCTCTAAAGCATTCCTAACACATACAATTCAGTATTCATTTGTGGCGTAAAAGTTCATATTATTGTAACATTTTTAATTTTATTTTGAAGCCGCCCGTGCATTATCTATCATATTCTCATGCGTTTAATGGTAATGGATTTAACATGGAAAGAAGTGAGTGCTTGAAGTCTGGTCCCAGCTGGTAAATAAGTAATGTCCTCATTGTTTTCTTTATCATTTCCTCTCAGGTATGGCCGTGTGGAGAGTGTTAAAGTTCTGCGAAAGCGAGGGTCAGAGGGTGGTGTTGCAGCCTTTGTGGATTTTGTGGATATTAAAAGTGCACAGAAGGCTCACAATGCTGTCAACAAGATGGGAGACAGAGACCTTCGGACTGACTACAATGAGCCAGGGTCAGTCCCTAGTGCTGTCCGGGGCCTTGAAGACGGCTCCCCCTCCAGCAGTCGAGACGTTACTGGATTCACTAGGGGAACAGTTGGTCCAGTGTTCGGGCCACCTGTGTCCCTACACACCCGAGAGGGACGTTATGAACGGAGAATAGATGGGTAAGTGGACACGGCGCCCCCTAAAATCCAGGGCATTCTAGGTACCACATCATTTCAAAGCCAAAAACACATAGCGGGGTTATTCATCAGGGATTGCTATCTCTAATAGTTGTAAGAAGGTAATCTAGGGAGTGCTCCACTCTTCATCATTCCTGACTCGCCTTGCCCATGGAGTTTATGTAATTACTACACGGTGTCATTTGCTAAGGTAACTACATTGCGAGGTTTGTACATCTGGTTTGGATATTACATTTATAAGGAATATCGAGATGAATTTTGGGAAACTACCCTGGAGAGCTTTGGATATATATTTTTTACTCAACATGGAATCTTACCCATATTTTTATTTGGAACCATTTGAAGGTGGAAGGAAATCCCATTTATGAAGGATTAATTTTTCTCCTGGAAGAATTGACACCACCACTTAGTTATTTTTGTTTCCTCATAGCAGGATTTGATTTTTTTGACTACTTTTAAGAAAAAAAAACATTTTTTTAAATGGATACCACCCATTTTGGATTTAAAATTTTGACCAAGCGAGAGGGAAAAACAAAGTCGTTACACAAGAACAAAAGAGTCTGTGCATATGTTTCCAGAACCATTTGGTTACTTTAGATTTAGCTGACAATAAAACATTGAATGTTTGTCTCAAATGTGGAAGCTACGCCTAGAAGACTTCGCAAGAACAATCCATGATCTAAATCCAAAGTTTGTGGAGCTACTTTTGCCTTCTGCAGTTGATTACCACGAAGAAACACGAAGAATGCCGTGTTGGGTGGATCTATGCCATTTAGTGTCTTGTGCTGGATGTAGTGATGACTTCTACAGTGGACAAATGCAGCTGCTGCTTATTTGGATTACCTGGGTGTGGATGTATCTGCTTGGTGTGAAAAAGAAGCCCCATCTACATCAAGCCATACAAAGGACTACGTTTTAATAACCCGGCGAAATGCTGCAAACTAATGGAAGACTTTCAGGAAACACACCAAATGGGATCTGTAAGCATTGGATTTATGTGGTGTCAAGAGTCCAAGGGGATTATTATGATTTCATCAAGTCTTCCAGCATGTGCAAAGCTAGATATCCAGATGTTAACCAATGGAATACTTTTTTTAAATCCTTGATTTACCGTTTTAGTTGTTATTATTATTTTTTTTTTACCTAATCCTGAACCTTTTGGATGTATTCATTCCTCGTACCGAAAATCACCACTAAGACTCATCCATCTGGATACATATTTTTTTAAACTGGAGTTAAATTTTCTTCTTTTTTTGCCATATGAAGATATTATGTTTCTATGTTTTCCACACCGTTGCTCTGAAATTGGTTAGGAATCTCGTTTCTGAATTTGTTTTTGTTTTGAATTTTTTTCCCCATTCCTTGGCGAGAATTAAACAAAACAGCAAATTGTGGATTTCTACCTCAGCGCTGACGTCGTCCTCTGTGTTTGAAGGAAACATGAATGAAGAGAACCATTTTTAACTAAATCAGATTTTTTTTTTAATCCCATGTTTTTTTAATTCAAGCTCTCACATTCTCACCACCTAGATTTTATTTGGATTAGTTTTGGTAACTTCTTTTCCAAAAGGTTGGTATTGCTCTGTTCTATGCATATTTTCTTTCTTTCAACTTCCCCAGTGCTTTGTAATAATAGATTTACCCTAACACCAGTGACGCTCAGATGACAAATATCAAGTTTATCAGTTGTACAACTGCAATGAGCTCTTTTTTAACTATCAATGAGTCAGTTATTTCTCCCCCTTATATAAATACTACCTTTGAAATGTAATTGCTTTCTTACAAATTCAGGAGAAGCATTTAATTTTGATATTTGTCATTTGGGTGTGAATACACAAACAGCCAGCTTCTGAAATGAGCTAAGTCGAATTTCCAGAGGAATGCTTGGTTTCTTTATTTTTTTGTTGCAAATGATAGAAGCCGAAATGCAGGAGTTTGTAGTGTCTGCAGTCGACTTGTAGCAGCCTTGTTTCCTGTGATTGTTCGAGTTTTTAGAAAAAGCAGTTGTCAAAAGGTTTTGCTACTCACAAATGATTTTAGAAGTACATTTTGGGCTACCAATCATCCTGTTTTCAGTTGGCATTTTTAAAACTTGCTTGATGAGCTGTTATGCATTGGTTTAGTGTCGGTATGAGTGAGGTTGCTGCTTATGTGTTTATTAGTTGAGATTATGCTTCGTTAGGTTTTAACATAGAAGGTATTTGTTCTGTTGAGCATCCATGGGTTAAAACAAACATGACAGGAAAGCTGTTGTTAATCTTTGAGCGTGTTTTTAGTGGTTTAATGTTGTCGTTTTGACCACGGTTACATTTTTTTTATATTAAAACTGTTGGATGTGAAGCAAAGATTCTGTTGAATGAGAACCGGTAGGACACACAAACCCTGGCTGTGCTGAGTGTAGCCTGGTTAAGCCACTGAATAACCTACGTTATAGCTTTCTGTTCTGTTGTTCCTTTGATGTTTTGTAAATATTGAAGCAAGTTAACTTAAAGAATTGAGTAATCTGACTTTTTAAATCTCTCTACCTTGTTCTTAATTCACAGTAGTTCAGAAAGCCGTGACCGTGCGTATGATCACAGCCCATATGGACATCACGACCGCAGTGGAACGTTCGACAGACAGCGTCACTACAATGCTGAATATTACCGTGACCGCACTGTTTTTACAACTGCTGGCCCAGGAGGCACTGCTATTGGGGGAAGCTTTGAGGCATCAGACCCACATTTTGACTCTAGAATACGAGACCCATTTGCTCTTACAAATTCAACACGACGTGACCTGTACAGAGATGACCGGGGGCGACGTGTTGATCGGACCTATCATCGGAGACGAAGCAGATCATCTCATTCCTCGCAGTCGAGGCATCCTTCGCCTCAAAGGACCACAGGGCAAACGTCCAAAACTCCTCATTCCCCCAAAAGAACCCCCTTGTCTCCAGGGAGAGGCCCGAGATCGCGATCTCGCAGCAGATCTTCAAGCTCGGACTCTGTCAGCAGCACCAGCAGCACAGGCAGCGGCAGGTATGACACTCGGGTTGTCCATGCGTTCAATAATTATGTTCGTCAAACAGATGCGTTGATTTGTGAAGACTTAATTTATAATTGGTTTGATTCACTTTTTGTGTGCATTTATTATATTTTTTTTATCATAATAGCGATTCAAACAGCAGCTCCAGTGATGGTTCTCGGGCACGCTCTATTCAATCATCAGCTGCACCTCAGTCGTCTATGGTCCTGGAGTCTGACGAGCCACGTAGGAGCTTTGGGATTAAAGTGCAAAATCTTCCAGTGCGCTCAACAGGTTTGTTGTTTTTTTATGGCCTTTCAGAGGTTCAGGTCAATAATCAACTTGTACTTCTATTAGTCATGATCTCAATTCTGGTTTGTACTTCATCTGCATATGTGTGGTGTTGAAGAATTTAAAGGAAACTGTGCTGACCAATCACAGACTTGCAGGCTTTGTCATTTTTGGCCAACAGCTAAAACGTTGGACATGTCTCTGTCCTGCCCCTGAGCCTTTGTGTCTCTTTGTTACAAAGCAAATAAAAAACACCAATAGACACAAGATGTTATGTAGCTACCACATAAATTGCACCAAAATGTTTCTTGTGTTAAAGTGTGACTGTGATTTTGGGCTCTAAATTTACCAGAGGCCACAGTTCACCTTGATTATTAAAATATAACATTTCTGTATTGTATTAAACCATGTCTGCTGGAAACTATTAGTTTTTAATTTTTAATATTATAAATCTTTATATTCTTAGTGTTTTAAAAAGGTCTAGTGCTTGTTAACTAAAATGTATCTTTAATTGTTCTTTTATTGGAGAACCTGCAGGATTTTCCCCTAAATTTTAGAAGCCCTTTTCTATAATCACTGATGAGAGGTTTTTGGGCCAATACCGATATTCGATATTAATATCACTGTTATGGCCGATAACCGATATTTGCCGATATACTGACATTAATGCTTCTAAAATCATCAGATTTTGTATAGAATGAAAATGATTAAAGCTGAGTTTACGTTATTTTGTACACACACCACACACATTTATACTTCTGAGATGATTACAATCACTGTCACATGACTAAACAAATACCCATCACAAATACCCATCACCCCTCATGCCCAGAAACTGATAAACAAATAGAAACAAGATGGAAAAAGTATCGGTTGTTAATATCGGCCCAGTTTTATTTATCGGACCGATATGTTAAAAATGACTAACATATGCCGATATATTGTATATCCCTATTTCTTTTTCATTGATATTTTGTGATTGGGGTCAAATGTGTAATTGCAAGTTAAGCATTTCAATCTATATTCCTAAAATGCTCTTTGGTTAATAATTGTTAATGTATGTCGATAAGTTTAAGTAGTTTACTTCCCAGAATATTACATTTTTATCAAGACTTTACTTTTTTTTTTTTTTTACTAACTTCCTTTTCCTCTACAGACACTAGTTTAAAAGATGGACTCTTCCATGAATTCAAAAAATATGGAAAAGTGACCTCAGTGCAGATCCACGGCGCATCAGAAGACCGTTATGGTTTGGTGTTCTTCAGACAGCAACAGGACCAGGAGAAAGCTCTCAATGTTTCTAAAGGAAAGCTGTTCTTTGGCATGCTTATTGAGGTCACTGCCTGGAATGGTCCTGGTAAGTGATGTTGGATGAAAAATAGTTCATTCTAATTTCTGTGGCATGCAGATAATTGAACAATAGCAACTTCAAAAACACATAGGGTAACGTAATGTTAATGTGACTAAATGTGAACTGAATGTCAGTAATATTAATTGGCCTATCACTTCCCTCAGAAACTGAGTCTGAAAACGAGTTCAGGCCATTGGATGGGCGCATAGATGAGTTTCACCCAAAGGCTACCAGGACACTTTTTATAGGGAACCTCGAAAAGACTACGAGTTACCAGCAACTGCTTGACATCTTTGAGCGATTTGGAGAAATTGTTGTAAGTTACAACAAGGTTGTGTTCTAGATTGCTCACTTTATAGAGAATGTATTCTGTAACTGTTGTTCCCACCCCCCAGGACATTGACATCAAGAAGGCCAATGGAGTTCCTCAGTATGCCTTTGTTCAATATGCTGATATTGCCAGTGTTTGCAAGGCCATAAAGAAAATGGATGGAGAGTATCTGGGGAATAATAGGCTAAAGGTATTGCGTTCTCCTTTTTGGTCATTGAAATAATGAAATGCCTTTGCATGTTATAAGTCCGATATATACTGTTCAGTCTATATATGATATTGCTGTCTTTCTCCATGAAGCTTGGTTTTGGGAAGAGTATGCCTACAACGTGTGTTTGGATTAACGGTTTAACCCCAAATATTACCGAGCAGTACCTCACAAGGCACTTCTTGCGCTATGGACATGTAGTTAAGGTATCCTGCTATTTTCTTTATGATATTCTGGTCTGGATTTTAGTGTTATCTGTTGTAACGCCATACGTTTGTATTATATTTGTGTTATTTTTCATAGGTTGTGTTTGATCGACTAAAAGGGATGGCCCTCATCTTGTACAACAACACAGAATTTGCTCAAACAGCTGTGAGGGAGACCAAAGGCTGGAAGCTCGGGGGTAATAAAATAAAGGTAAACAAAAATAAAACTAGATGCATTGAAACGTTTTCAGCAGACTTAACATTTTGTAACTGTCCTTTGTAGTTATGTTATTAATTTGTTCATTAAATCACTTGTAATAGGTGGATTTTGCAAGTCAAGAAAGTCAGATGGCATTCTACCGCTCAATGCAGACCTCTGGCCAAGACATTCGAGACTTTTACGAAATTCCACCTGAGCGACGGTAAAATGACCCAAAAATATTTATTAATTTTATAAATTAATATTTTGCTTGCAGATTTAGCTACATTAAAACTAAAATAATTGCAACCATTGTACTGTTTATAATCAGATTATTTGGTAAAACGTAGAGTTTTTTTAAGTTTATTAAAATCCTGAAATCTCCATTTCTGTCTTGTCATCATTTCAGAGAGGAACGCAGGCCTCCTTATCATGAATTCACCGCAGAGAGAGCTTACTTTGAAAACATCAGAACCCCTGGTCTTTTTCCAGAGGATGCTCGAAGAGACTATGCTGCACGAAGCAGAGAACGCTTTCCTGAACTGGAACATTATCAGGGCGAGCACTTTGAGCCACGTTATCATGAAGACCCAAGGGACTACAGGGATTACAGAGACCCATTCGAGCAGGACATCAGAAAGTACACATATATACAAAGAGAACGAGAAAGAGAGCGGGAGCGTTTTGAAGCTGATCGTAGCAGGTGGAGTCCATCTCATCCTAGGCGAGCCATTACTCCTTCAATATCACCTTCACCTTCTGAACGGGCTCCCAGAGACCCTGAACGGCGGGTTTACAGCCAGTCTTCTGAGAGAAGTGGTAGTGTGAGTTCACTGTCCCCGCCACATTTTGACAAATCTGAAAAAGCCCTGCAAGAACATGCGTCAAAGAATGAGAAGACCACTCAACCTGAACGAGTAGCAGGAACCGAAAAGACCAAGCGTCCAAGGCGTAAAGAAAAGGCTGACAAAGATAAAGCTGACAAGGGCAAATCAAGGAAAGCAAAGGGTGCGTCCCCATCTAATCTACTACCAGAAACGGAGCCCGAGGGTGGTTTTGATGAAGTGTCTGCAAGAAGAGGATCAGACCAGGATGCTCCAGAGAGACAGAAATGTAAGGGAGAAAGTGACAGTCAAACTGAAAACCAGTTGTCAGTTCCCCATCAAGATTCAGTAAAAATTGAAAGACCCGAATTGAATAAAGGGGATAATTCCGAATTAGATGGGAAAGCTCGACCCAAGAAGCATTCAAAGTCTGATATTGGAAATGATGGGAAGGATTCATCAGTGGATTTAGATCGCCTTGCTGCAAGAAAAAGACGATTTGCCGATACAGGTGGAAAGACTGTGCCAGTAAAGAGAAGCAGGCATGAGGAGGAAGAAAGTGGTCAGTCCTCTGACCTTGGTACCAGTTCTGTTGTTTTGAAAGAAGACTCTGACAAACGCAAAGATCAACCAAGAAGAGATGCACGACTCAAAACTGATAAATGCGTCAGTCAAAAGGATGGTCATGAGGACCTTGCTGGACAAAGAGAGAAAGCTGAGGGGTCATTAGACATACAAGACGCAAAACGACATTCAGGAAGCACAACTTCCAGAAGAGTTTCACAGGAAGGAAATTCAGATCAAAGCAGTGTGAGAGAACAAGACCACCACGCTGCAATCAGGCCTAGTCAGAATGCTGAGCCTAACAAAATCAAGAACAAAGAAGATCACATTGATATTGACCTTTCTCAGAGTTGTCGCAAGCAGATGGAACTTAACAGACGTTTACATCTACAGAAACAACGTGAGTCAGACAAATCTGAAAAAGCAGAAAATCTTCTGAGAAATGAAACCGAAGACTTGGAACACCGTAGTTTAGTGCATGAAGTTGGTAAACCACCCGAGGATGTCACAGACAATTTTCCATCTCACAAACAGAAGAAAACAGACCAATTTGACACAGACTCTGGTACAAAGAGAGAGCGCTTCTATAGAAGACAGAGAAGCAAAGATTCTGAGTGGAACAGTACGCCATCTCCAGGTCACCAGCTCTTTTCTCAGCATGCAGATGAAGAATTTCTAGATGCCCCTCAGAGAGAGTTTAGTCGAAATGATGAGAAAATTCACTCAGATCTTGAGTTGTTTGTAAAAAGAACGCAAAATACACAAGTTAACAAGCCAAACATCCCTTTGAGTAGTGTGGAGGAAGAACAGCAAAAGAGATGGGAGAGCAGAGGCAAACAAGACTTGTTGCCTAATCTGAACTTTTCTAGAAGCATAGGTAAAAACATCCAGAATCGCAAACACATGGAGTATGGCCTGTGGCATGACCTGGAACCCGGGGAATTACGATCCGACTCTGAAGAGGACAGGGAAGTGAAACCATGCTCTCCTGTGCCCTCTACTTCCATGCCTTTTCCTGAAAGGCCTAGACCCGATAGGTTTTCAGACCCCAAGCTAGCAATTCTTGAAAGAAACAAATTTTACTCATTTGCTTTTGACCAGACCATCACTCCTGATACAAAGGCTTTGCTAGAACGAGCGAAATCTCTCTCATCTTCTCGAGAAGACAGTTGGTCATTTTTAGATTTCGATTCTCACTTTGTAAATTTTCGCAACAGGAAAGACACAGAGAAAGTTGAATCAACACCAAGACCTACTCCTTCTTGGTACAGGAAAAAGATACGAAGTGGATCTGAGGACAAACTTGATGACAGGAAAGAAGAGCCTAAGCCAGAGGAGCAGGAGCGCAGAGAACTTTTTGCCTCGCGCTTTCTTCACAGTGCTGTATTCGAGTTGGATTCTAGACGACTTCAACTTCTTGAACGCAAACACAAAGAACTTGAGCAAATGCAAAGCCAACAAGCAAGTCAGCATGGGACAGATGAACTGGATACAGGGCCAGTTGTCCTTTTTTATAGTAGATTTCTGGAGCTTACACAATTACAACAGAAGAGCAAAACCCCTCAAGTGCAAGAAGACAAAGGAGACATAAATACCAGTGAAAGTAAAGAGAAAGCACCTGATCCAGAACAACAAGCTGTACAGTCTCCTGAAACGACCAAACCCACCACAGGGATGGAAGTGAAACCTGTCAATCCAGCTGAAGAAGCTATTCCTGTACAAAAACTCACACCTAATACTGTCGTCAAGTCTGAGAACAAGGATGTGGCTCCATCAGATGAGAAGCCTGTTCCCTTAAATCCAGCTCCTGTTGTACATCAACTTGTGTCTATAGCAAAAGAAGAAATGAAGGAGGAAGTAAAACAAAGGGATGAAGTCACGCCTACGCAACATTCACCAGCTGAGACAATAAAGCCAGAACCTGCACCTTCAGTAACTTCTGAACCTAGCTACTCATTGGATGAATCTAAGCTTTCTTCATACAAAGAGAAACTGGATGTCATTGTTGAGGATGTAAAAGCTCCAGCTAAAGAGCAAGCACTCTGCCCTGACTCTAATGAGGAGTTGGCCAGCAATGTAGAACCAAAACAGGACACTGAGAAAACTCTAGCAGACATATCCACAGCTAGCAGTCCAGTGCACCCTAGTTTTGTTGAAGAGGAGGATGTAATAAAAAAAGAGATGTTTTCCATCCTTGAAACAGCAGTAGAGCCAGAAGAGGAGAACGTTCTCCAAACTAGTAAAGAGCAGAAACCTATTAATGTAACAATTGAAGAGCCAGTCTCTCTGAGGGAAAATAAAATAAAAGAAATTAAAACTAAAAAGAGCAAACAGCCTCCTGCTCAGGCTGCTCCAATACCTGCACCATCTACCACAGTCTCTGAGAAACAAGCAACACGCAAGAGTGAGCGCATTGATAAAGAGAAGCTAAAACGTGGTTCATCTCCAAGAGCTGAAGGAAAGTCCACAGCCAAGTCGCCTATTCATGGGTCAGATCATGATGCCTCAGAGCAGAGTATACCGCTCGGTCGAGCCAGACGAAGAAATGTTAAATCAGTCTATGCCACTCCAGTTGAAGATGACACGCTAGTTCGTTGTGGAAAGGAAATTCCAGAGTCACCACGCACCGTTAGAAAACGGGGCACAGAGAAGGATGTAATGCAACAAAGTACAGAACAAGAACCTCCCGTTCCAACTCAGCCAAAACGAGGTCGCCCTCCTAAGAACCGCAAACTAGGAGAAGAAAGTTCAGCTGCTAAAGCAGAAAAAATTAAATCTGCAAACAAAGACACTGATTTGAATGAATCTGAATGTGGTGAACGATTTTCAAGAGTTTCCAAAGGGAAAACATGCCCTCAAGTCACAAAGAGTTCTGTTAATCAGACACCCTCAGCCCCAGGATCTGGGTTAACAAAAAAGGGGGACAAAAATGAGGCAGTTGACGAGACACAAGAAGTTAATTTCACTGATGCAGACAATTTCCATTTAGTAGATTCATCAAATTCAGGCAAAGATTTAGCAGCCAAAAATGACATTGTTACAGAACTAGGCAAAGATAAAGATGTTGGCCATGAGAAAAATTGTGAGGAAAAATCAAATGGAAAAGAGACAGAGTGTGTGGTTGATGAGAAATCCACTCCTGAGAAAGACAAAAGTTCTAGAGGAAAAGTCAAGTTGACCAGAACTCAAAAGTCTCCTGTGCTCAAGAACCTAAAAATTAGCCTAAATGTCACAGAGGTTAAAGATCTTCTTCAACAAGATCTTGGGAATCAAGAAGACACAACCAAAAAGATCAAACCTTGTGACCAGAATGATCCTGCTTCAAAAAACATAAATGCTAACAAAGGATGTACTAATGAAGAAAAAGATTCAAAAGAACATGAAACCTCTAAAAACCTAATTGCACAGGAGCGTGAATTGGAACAAGCGGTGGAGAATATCGCCAAGCTTACTGACCCAACATTTCCTACTGAACCAAATCCACTTGTCCGACCAGCAGAGACAAAAAGTGACGTAGATGAAGAAAAACCTTCTAATCCTGCCAGCGAGACAGAACTAATGGCGGCCATTGACTCAATAACTGCTGAAGATATGAGTGCATCTCTTCCTCAAGCACCTCCAATAAGTGCAAATGTATGTTCAGAACCTGAAATGCAAAACTTTAGTCAGCCCATCAAGTTAGAAGAAGCTGAAACAAATCTTTCTTCCATACAAGAGCCTACCTTTCCTAACACACCCAAAAAGTGCAACAAGGGAAGACCAAAAACACCTAAACGTTCTAAGACCACTAAACAAGTAAGAAAAGATCCAAAAGAAGAACTAAGGGAGGAACCCATAATGGCTTTAGCTGAGAAAACAACTTCAGATGGAAAGATTGAGCCCAAGACACCTCCGTCAGCGGCTGCTGCAGTTATTACTTCTACTGCTTGGAAACCAGAGTCTGAACCTTTAGCCGTAAAGAGTACAGAGTCAACATTATCACTGGAGGAGCAGAAACAACCCTTGAAACCTTTGTATCCTCATGCTAAGAGTCCAATAATCCAAAAGCCCCAGCAGTTGCCACCTGAAACCATCTCCCCTTCTCTGACCTCAAACAAGTTAAATATCAGACCCATTCAAACAAACCGAGCTCCTGTTTCTCCACCAGACTGGGCTCAACAGTCTAAAGATACAAGTGTTTCTTCACATGTCATGTCATTGGCAACCAAAGAAAGCCAGCTACCATCCTCAGACGTGGAGAAGATGGATACTGATCGAGGCACAAGTGACTTGAGACAGATTCTTCAGCACAAAACTGCTTCACTCCAAGCCAGCAATTGTATTCCTAGTAATCTATCAAATCTTCGAGATCAAAACCCACCGGACATCAACACTCCACTTACAACTGTTGTCCCAAATAAGTCACCACACTCTGATGGTAAATTTCAAAGTCATTCATTACTTCCAGTTGTTCGACCACCAGCTTCTTTACCCGTCCCTGAGACTAAATCTGTGATTTCTGTTATTGCGTCTACAGCAACCTCTGTTATAAGTCGTGTTTGTAACCCACCTGAGTCTGAGGAAAAGGCTAACATTAATATCGGAAATCCCTGTATGGAGATGGTTTTACCCAAAACAGCCTATAAGCCAATCAAAGATGAGAGTGGATCATACCACGGACCATCTGATGAAGGGGCAAGTGCTGCACGCTTTATTGTTGAGAGCCCCACTCTCACTGGGACGTGCTCTGGACTGAGAGTAAATACATCTGAAGGAGTGGTAGTGTTGAGCCACTCTGGTCAGAAAACGGAGGGACCACAAAGGATTAGTGCAAAGATTAGTAAAATCCCTCAAGCAACGGTAGGGGACATGGAATCTCAGCAGTTGGTGTCCATGCCTCAGATTAAACAGGACATTTATGGTCATTCTCAGTCAGGACTTCCAAAGGGGTCTTCGTCCCAGGCAGATCATGGACACACAGGCAAACCTCAGTCAGCCACTATTAAACATGAAAGCAGCAGTTTGGAAAAGATGGAATCTGTTTACCCATCTGGACCTCAAGGGGTAGTAAAACGCCTTGGTCAGACTAACCAACAAGTGATGGGTTATCATCAAGAGTACATGCCGTTAAAGCATCCAAAGAAGACCGACAGTGCTGATCCCCATGGTGCAGATGGAGGTAAAACATCCTGGACCTCAGCTGTAAGTCCTGCCATCAGCCCTCATTTGCCTTCTCCACCTGGGAACCATGTAGGATTTGTCACAGCAGCTGGTGAGAGGGCTTCTTTGCATGTCACTGGAATTAAACAAGAACCACGATCTCCTCGCAAGTCGGGCCACCCACACTCACCATTTACTAAAGTGTCCTCGCCCATAGGGTCCTCGTCACCCAAGGGCATTACTGTGATGCTGCCTTCTGCCATGCAACAATATATCACTGGTGTACACCATCCAGAGCAGTCCGTCATTATGCCACCACACAGCGTACCAGGAGGTTTGGGACGGATGTCCCCTCACTGTGTTGCCCAGTCAATTCCAGTGGGACATCTTGTTCAAGATGTTAGGGTTAACACTCCACCTTTGTCGGTGATGAACTATGGGATGCATAGTGAGCCACTTGCGTCTCCTTGGCCAGGTCCAATGCAGCAACGGTCTTCCTCACCCCAGGCTCCTGGCAGAGACAAGGTTGTCAAAGTTAATCCTGGTTCTTTGAGGACTCATGAAGGGGATCAGGAGGAATCCAGACACTTGCACCCAGTAGTGAGACCATCTGCCACCCTGCAGTCAGATCCTCGTGGACCCTTGAGGGGTAATGTCCAGCTGGAAACCTACATGGCTCAGAGAGAAATGCGTATGCTCATGCACCAGCAGGGTGACCGTATGACCACAGACCCTCACTCAGGACATATTCAAGACACTCTACCCCCCTCTTTATCTCCAAGAGCACCCATGTTGGCAAAAGGTGTACCTGAGAAAGATTTAACAAAGTCATTAGAAGCAAAGAGACCTCACTCCCCTCTTCCAAAAGATGGCATGATGGGTGTGAGGCAGTCTGGTCCAGCTATGGCATCCCCCCAGAGAGTTCAGCTAATGCCACCAGGACCTAGTGGAGCATTCCCAGAGTACTCCAATAGATACTCAAACCGCATCCATTCTCAAATGGCAGAACCTTCTGTTGGGCATAACCAGCCGCCAGTGAACGTCACCCCAGCTTTAGTGAGTCTTCTGCTGTTACATTTCAAGTTTAGTGGGAACTAACCCCCAAATTCCACTACCTCCGCTCCGGTCCGCCCCCGCCTTCCGCAGCCGCTCGCTTCCGAACTCAATTTTTACTGGTACCCGCTCTACGGCTCCGCTCCGGTGCGGAGACCTGAGGTGGGCAAACAAGCATGCGCGGGATTTTCGAGATCTTGCGATACAGTCCGAGCAATAAACGCGGAAGTTAGATCCAAACACCCGTTGTGCGGGAGAAGCATCGGCATGAGCTGTTTAATCTGCCCATCATTTGTGTTGAGAGATCAGCAGCGTTTGGATCAACAAAGTGTGACTACTTTGATAGTGTAAACTGTATTTATGGCTTACTTTTGTGCATTTAAACTTCAGCCACCATTGATGGTTGTTAAAAGTTGTTAAACCTGTGCATATGAAACAAAAGACGCCTTTTGTTTATCGATTTATTGTGAAAAACGGAAGTTGTGCTTGTTCCTTTTCCTGTTGGGCGGTTGTGATTTCTGTCCATTTACTGCGGAGGTGTTCCGGCATCCGGCAAAAATAGGATCGATTCTATTTTTGCCGGATGCCGGAACAGAGGGCGGCGCACTGCCGGAGCACGGCCGCAGTAGTGGAATTGCTCTGATTGACTACAACGGGACCGATTTTGCTCCGGCGTTCGTGTCAGAGCGGAGCGGAGGTAGTGGAATTTGGGCATAACAGATACAACTAGCTTTGAAAAGTCAATTGCTAAAAGGAAATCTGATATTTTGTTTAAGCCATTATAGACTGTAGAAGTACATTCTACATATTTTTATTGTCAGATCAGAACTTTTATCTCACACCCCATCTGCTGTATTAAAGTATGGTACTTTTAACTTGAATAGTCCTTTCCCACCTGGTCGTTGTGTTCTTATTGTGTAAATGAGCGTGGGTATTTGTGTCTCGCTGCAGGGTGGAGACCTCCAGACAAAACCAGATGGCAAGATGGCGCAACCTGTTAATATGCTGCAGTTGCTCACAGTAAGAAATAACTCTTCACAGCAGTGTAGAGGTTCAGACTTGTTGATCTGAACAAGAGCTGTCTTTGTTTGACACATTTGGTTTTTTCCTTCCCGATACAGAAATACCCTATTGTGTGGCAAGGCCTTCTGGCGCTAAAGAATGACACAGCTGCAGTCCAGTTACATTTTGTCTGTGGAAACAAAGCTCTGGCTCATCGATCGCTGCCTCTGCAAGAAGGAGGCGCTCTGCTTAGGATTGTCCAAAGAATGAGACTGGAAGCTTCACAGCTGGAGAGTGTAGCCAGAAGAATGACGGTGCGTTTCTTTACTCTCGACTTTAAGTGATTTTTACTGTATTGGTTCGATTCAGTTTTAAAGTTATTTAACCTTTTTTTCCTCAGGGTGACAGTGATTACTGTCTTCTCCTGGCATTGCCATGTGGGCGCGATCAGGACGACGTTATAAACCAGACTCAAGCTCTCAAAGCTGCATTTATTAGCTACTTGCAGACGAAGCTGGCAGCTGGTATCATCAATATTCCCAATCCAGGTTCCAATCAGGTGGGACACACACCTGTTAAGGTTTAATTGTTTGAAATTAATATCTGCTGTTTTTTATTTTTATTTTTTTTTAAATGTACAAGGCAAAACTCAGTTTATTATTATTTTTTAACGTCAAAAGCACAGATTTTATAATTTATTGTTTGGTTTATAGTCCTGAGTAATTCGTCACATTTACTCATTTGGTAAATGAGCCGTAGCTTCCACACTACATTTATCGTCATCACTTGTGTCTGAACTGTGTGTTCAACGGTAAAGCTGGGATGGGTCTGGACCTTCTGACACTAAGCCAAAGAGATTAGCATCGGATCCATTCTGCTCCGCCTTCCCCAGCCTGGCTGCATTCGTTCCACGCACATGGGCGGTCTGTGATGTCATGAACGCATATCCGAGCACGTGGTCAGAAAAAAAGAGCGCGGTGTCTTCATTGTTAACTCATTCGCTGCCCGCCATTTCCTGATCGCTAAAGCCCTTCGCTGCCAGTGTTTCTCACCGTTTTTACTGGTTTTTTTTTTAAGAGCCACAGAACATTGCGCACTAGGATGATGTCAACGCCAAAACAACCAAAACAAAGCAGAGACTCACCTCTTACATCAGGAAGAATCCACGTGCTTCAAGCTTTTTCCGTTCTTTCATAATCCGTTGTTGAATTGTGATCGGCAGAAGCTTTTCCGGTTCGCGCCTCACTTTTTTTGCAGCAGCGGCCCAAAATGATCTCCTAACACATGGATTTTCTGCTTCCTGATCACGTGACGTGTGACATATGCGGATGAAGATCGGCTTTAGAGCTGAGGTGTTGGTTCTCACGGTGCGGGGGCTCGTTCCGACACCCACACAGTAAAAAAATGCAAATGACAACTTTAGTCGTCAATGGCAGTGAATGAGTTAAACAAACGCGGCCTGAGCAGTTTTGCTTTTGGAGACTCACTCTGATTTTGCATCCTGCTTTGGTGTGTGTGGGTGTGTGTGCGTGCGTGTGCGTGTGTGTGCGCCTGCCTCCTCACATTAGTGAGAGGAGACAGAGAAAAACGGCTTCAGTCAGAGGCTTGTTAACTCCACAGCATCCAGAACAACGATGAATTGCGCATGCGGGAGGCTCCCGCAGACTGATTCTGCCAATCGAAGGCTCCCCTTAATAGCACGCTTTGGGGGTGTGTCAGCCCTGCTCGTCTCCAGGCAGACCACCTCGAAGAGGGCTGAAAAGACAACCGGTTGTGCACGAGAAAATCCAAGAGAACGCTACCAACCCAGTCCAGGCGGAGTGGAGCCGATGCTAGCGTGAAAGGGCCATAAGATGCAGATCTTTGTTGAAATGGTCTTATTTGCCTTGAATTTACAGCATCAGATTAAATGTAGATTAGCATTTCTGAGACATGATGGACTAATAATCCTTACTCTCTTGATGCATTTCCTTATAGCTTATATGTGTAGACTAAGCCAGAAAATCTGGCACAGATTTACTTACTAAACAATAGTAGTAACTACTTGTTTTTTTTTGTTTGTTTCCAGCCTGCTTATGTGCTTCAGATTTTTCCACCCTGCGAGTTCTCAGAGAGCCACTTGTCACAGCTCGCCCCCGACCTTTTGGACAGGATCTCCAGCATCTCACCACATCTCATGATTGTCATCACCTCTGTGTAAACATCTCTGCTGAGACCCATCCCATCATTGGATTTTCTCACTACGAGCCTCAGGAAACCAGAGGAAATCAATCTATATATATATATATATATATATATATATATATACTTGTTTTCCTGGATTCAATAGGAAATGTAAAGGGTGTACATTACAAACATTTTTTTTATATCAGTCTTTTTTTTTTCTTTCGTCACTCCTGTCTGGTATTTTTGTCCTTCTCCAATGAACTCAGGGATGGAACAAACCAGAATGAGTCTTACTTGACCATTTCTCTGCTGTATTTCTATTTATTAAAGTTTTATTCAAATTTTTGGAGATGCTTTGGAAAAAAAAATCTGAATGTGGAAACAAAAAAATTGTGACTTATCTGGGTGGCCTGTTAATTTTTTTTTGTGTCTTTTATTTTTATTTTATTTTTTTCATGGGAAGATCATAGAAACTACAAAGACATTTCAATCTGTATTTTTAAATAATTATGTACAGACTTCCTCACTCGGATGTCCTTTGTGGAAGGATTGTAAATCTATGAAGACCCTTTTGAGAACCATATTCATGTAACAGCTCCTTTAACTCCACCATCTCGGCTCATTTTCTGACACTACTGAAGCAGTCACACGTGCATCGATCAAGCCTCAGTACGACGTGGGAGTTTTTGAGTACAGGACTTTGTAAATATTTTAAATATTTAAACATGAGAGAAACTTGGGCAGTTTAACAGACACTTAAGTCTGGGACAAACCAGAACACAAAGTGAAAACTTCAGATGGCTCCTACGTTTTTGGATGTAAATACTTGTAACACAAGAAGTTCTGCTGATGGCACTTCATATTTTGTAATTCGAATAAAAGAAAATCCTTTACTTTGGCTGACTCTTTCCTCCAGGTTTAACTTGACTTTGTACAATGGTCAGATTTTAAATTAATCAACATCTTCAACATTTTTATACCAAGGGGTGGGATCTGAATTGAGTGCAGCAGCATGTGTGTTGTCACAATAGACAAGGATACGTTTAAAATATGGTTTTATAGTTATTACAGAGTTGATTGTCCAAATTAAGCATTTCAGAAGCCATTTATTTAAATATAAGAATTAAGGCTAAAATGACCAATGGAGAAAAAGCAGAAAATCAACAAAATCTCATTTCCTAGTCATTTTTTTTATTTATGTAGAATGATGGCTACGTCATGCTGGTTTATCACTTAAAACTCAGTTTAATGGTTGGTTTTATTTTAGAACAAACATCTGTTGGGAACAACTTGGGGTGATTCAAAATAACATCAAAAACCTAGTGTTTCAAATCATCACTTGAGCCAAATAAGGCCACCAGCTGGTGTTCGTACTGGGAGATGTTCCTCTTCATGATGTCCATGCAGGGTCCCAACAAGCGCTCGAAAGCCTTAATGTCGATTACTGGACAGAAAACACAAACATTGCATGTTTTTAGGGTTTTAAATAGTTGATGTGACTGATTAAATGGGAAAAAGTACATTCAATTCTGATTTTGTGTGTTACCAAACCTTAAAGCTAAACTAGTAGGCTTTTAAAATGGTCTCGGTTAGAAACGCTGGACATTAGTGCAAGTGGATTCAGGCAGTCTGTGCTAGATTTTGACCTTGTTATTGACTTGTTGAAACAAATTGATCTGTAGGACTGTGAACACCCCCTTCCCCCACACTGTCAGATAAAAACCATAACTTTAAAAATAGGGTCAACGTTTGAAATGCCAGAGACTAAATCAAAGCATGTTCAGCACTAATAACTGATTCTAAATGATGTATTGGAAACATTTTTAAAAACAAAATACATCCCATAGACTAATTAATTAAAACAGCTCTGGAAAACTTACAGAATACATAGTTCATCATAAATTTAGGTAAAATTTCCCCATAAAAAGGAAAATAAGTTTGAATTAAAAGTTTTTTTTTAACGTGTTTTTGCTTTTCTGCTGGTGTGAACCTATATTAATGTCGATGGTGTGCACCAGGGGGCTTCAGAGACCAACTTGCTTATTTTAAGGTCAAAGATCAGCAAGTACACAGTAGGTTGCACAGACTTAGAAAAAAATCTGAGGAAAATTTGTGGCCATTCTGGTAAAGCCTTCCTTTCATTCAGCAGGTTTCAAAAGCAACAATCTGAACTTTGAATCATGTAGTTTTTTTAATCTGTAAAAGTGATAGTTTCACTCTGTAGTATAATATAATGTAGGAAATATGTTTTTTTGTTTTGTTTTTGTTTTGCTAAGCCTGCCCCCGTCCCATAGAGCCCCATGCAGTTTGAATTGAGTGGCGCTCAGCATTAGCCAATAGCGTTGGACATTTGTTTACATACAGATATCAACAATCACAGAGCGTGTGTACGCCATTGTGGAAGTACATAGACTGATGCAGAGTTGGTGACATGGGCAATTAAGTGTTACACTGACTCACTGACCAGCCGATCGACGTGGATAAAATTGTTGGCACCCTTCGGTCAATAAAAGAAAAACCTACAATGGTCACAAAAATAACTTAAATCTGACAAAAGTCATAAAAAATAACTATTCTATGAAATTTAACCAATGAATGTGAAACATAGCTTTTCAACCATGCTTCAATGGAATTATTTTAAAAAATAAACTGGACAAAAGACTGAAAATTATGTGACCAAAGGGACATGTTAATTCTAAGTGTGCCCACTAATTAGCATCACAGGTGTCTACAATCTTGTAATCAGTCTAATGAGCTTTGAAAGAAAAGCGTCTGGACTTCTATGAGTTGCTTGAAGACGTTTCACCTCTCATCCGAGAGGCTTCTTCAGTTCTAAGGTCAAATGGTGGAGAGTCCCAGATTTAAACCCAGTGGGAGTCCCCCCCCCCCCGAGTTGTACAGTTGTACATATTCAGAAAAGTAACCCTCTCAGGCTCAAAATAAGTTTTGATAAAAGGATGAGCAACTTCAGGGATACTTCTGAGTTAAAAAATGCTCATGAAATACGTATGTGTAGTAACCAGGTAGGAAGGTTTTAACTGTTGCAAATCTGCAACGCCTGCCTCCAGAGGGTTAAGATCCATGGGATTGTAGCCAACCTCCCTGGACATGGCCATAGGAGGAAAATTTCTGACTAATGAAAGAGACGGATAATCCGAATGGTAACAAAAGAGCCCAGAAAAACTTCTAGAGATCCAAGGTGACCTTCAAGCTCAAGGAACATCAGTGTCAGATCGCACCATCTGTTGTCGTCGTTTGAGCCAAAGGGAGACGACCAAGGAGGACACCATTGTTGAAAACAAATCAGAAAAAGCCAGACTGGCATACACCAAACGACATGTTGTCAAGCCACAAAGCTTCTTGCTGAATGTCCTATGGACAGATAAGACAAAAAATTGAACTTTTTGCTAAGGTGCGTCAGCTTTAAGTTCAGGTCATGGGTCTTGCAACAGGACAATGACCCAAAAACACACAACTGAATGGCTAAGAGGAAAACACTGGACCATTTGAAAGTGGCCTTCTATGAGCTCTGACCTCAGTCTTATTGAGCATCGCTGGAAGGAGCTGAAACACGCCGTGGTAAAGGCACCCTTCAAACATGAGGCAACGGGAGCAGCTTGCTCATGAGAAGTGGGCCAAAATACCTGCTGAGAGGTGCAGAAGTCTCATTCACCGTTACTAGGATTAATAGTTTGCTGTGATTGCCTCAAACAGTTGTGCAACAAAATATTAAGTTAGGGGTGCCAACATTTTGGTCCAGGCCTGTTCATGAATTTATATTTTAAAATAATTCCATTGAAGCATGGCTGAAACAATGCCGGACTTTCATTGGTTAAATTTCATAGAATTGTTATGTATTACACATAAATAAACAGCATAATGTGTGGATATTAATTATAAAATAGTGTGTTTTAGCTCTTTTGCTAAAGTGCATGTTCATGAATGCGAGGTGTTGCTTCCAGCCATAATCATTGCAGTGCGTTACGGCAACAGATACTAAAAGAAATGAAAAATAAAAAAGTAGCTGTATTTTGTTTCAAAATTTACAGATGTTGCACTCATTCCCCTCTAAAAACATCAAAACATCAATGTGTTGTAACAAACCTAAACATTTGGTGTTGCCCACGGCGTAGACCGACGCTGCACGAGGTTTGTTGGTGACCAGCGCTAGCTCTCCAAAGTACTGACCTCTTGAGCAACGGGCCACCTCTACTTCCATGTTATCCTGCTGGCCAGCCTTCGTCTGCAGCAGACGAACACCACTCAGTTTGTAGATTTTTCCTGAAAACTCGGATATCATTTTTACCGATTTTATTGTTAAACTGCACTTACTTTGGTTTTGATCATTATCTTCACCTCTCCTGATTCCACAATGTAGAAACAGTCGGCCTTCTCGCCCTGCAAGAAGCAGCAGGAAAACATCTAACTCACCGTTTTAGAATAAACAGCTGATCAAAAACTACCTGTGCGATTATCCGCTCTCCGTCACTGAACGCTCGAGCTCCCAAAACATCAACAATCTTCATCCTCTCGGAGAGCTAAAAGCATAATGACACGTGAAACACCTGTTCATAGATCTGTATGTGTGTGTGTGTAGGCACCATTCCACTTACAAACCTCCAGACACTTAAGAAGTGGGACACACTCTATGAAGGCCTCATACATCCTCCTCTTCTTTGCGTTGTTTTTTACAATCAGCCTGTGAAACGTGGCTCGATCCTGAGAGAGGGACGAGGAACAATCAGAGTCTTTTATCTAGGTTTAACTGACGGCAGACCCGAGGTCCCACTCAGGCCTGTGTGACACTCACCAAACCCCACAGAGCGCCCTCTTCTGTTGCGACGATTGTAGCAGCTCGAGGAGTGTTGTACATGAGAGCCAGCTCCCCGAAACTCCCTTTGTTGTTATACTTTCCGACACACACGCCTGCTCCATCCTTTTCCACCAAAATATCGTACACTCCTCTGAAATGTTACATCACAACATCCCATCAAAGCAGAAACGTGAATGAAATGTCCAACATTGACTTGTGCAAATTAATTAAAAATAAACCAATCAATCAAACTTTATTTATATACCACTTAATCATGCAATACATGCAACTCAAAGTGCTTAACAAATTAAAAAGACCCGCATACCCACATTCCCTCCGAACATCCCCAGAATTTTAAAAACAGTCCGATAATAAAAATCCCTTCACAACACTCATCCTTCGGCACACACGCACACACACACGCGCCCCCCCCCCATGGAAAAAACATGATTGGCTGAGATCAGATGAGCCAAACCAGCTAAGATAAGGATAAGGAAACGCCATCAGGGGAGCCATCCGCCCCGACAGCAGCAGATCCACAGCAGCAGCCAAGGCACCGACACAGGGTGCCCAGGGCAGGGAGGGCGGAGACCTCCACCTCCACCCAGGCACACCTGGAAAGCACCCAGGCCGCCACAGCTGACCACTGCTCCCGGGGCAGAGGGCACCCACAGAGGAAACACTGGAAAAAGGTTAAATTAAGGTTAAAATATAAAATCATAGGAGCTAAAATGAGAATTTTAATATAAAAAGTTATATAGATATTACAATAATGTTGATCATATATCTATGGTAAAAAAACTGTTTAAAAATAGCACATATAGAGAAAGAATACATAAAATAAATAAATAAATGAACGAATAAATAAACAAATAGACAAATAACCTAATTAATTAACTGATTAATTTAAAAAGTGATCGTAATCAGTTCAAAGCCAAGCTAAAAAGATGGGTCTTGAGCCTGTTTCTAAAAACATGAAAGTTCTCTGTGGCCCTGAGGTCCCCTGGCAGCTCGTTTCAGAGGCGAGGACCGTAGTACTGGAAGGACGCCTCGCCGTGACTATGTGTCCTGACTTTAGAGATGACAAGGAGATGGCTGCCAGAGGAGCGCAGAGACCGCGTGGGTTCATACGCTAAAAGCAGTTCTGACAGATAAGAAGGCCCAAGACTGTAAAGACGCTTAAAAACAGTTAAAAGTATTTTAAAATCGACCCTGAAACATACGGGGAGCCAATGCAGTGATTCTAAAACTGGAGTGATGTGCTCCCACCTCCTGGTCTTCATCAGGACACAAGCTGCTGAGTTTTGTAATAGTTGTAAACCTGAAATCCTCTTTAGGAAGACCAGAAAGTAGGGCATTGCAGTAATCTATCCTACTGCTGATAAAAGCATGCATCAGCGCCTCCATATTGGCCCGAGAGAGAATGGGGCAGATTCTGGTGATGTTCTTTAGATGATAAAAACCTATTTTGGTGATATTTTTAATATGATGGATAAAAGTCAGCTCAGAGTCAAAGATGACACCCAGGTTCTTCACCTGTGAAGATGGATTAAGAGACAGTGATTTTAATTTTGGTAAAAGTTTCTCTCTCTGGGCCTGAGGACCGATAACTAAAACTTCAGTTTTGTCCTGGTTGAGCTGGAGAAAGTTTTCTGCCATCCAGGATTTAATGACCAAAATGCAGTTAAAAAGTGTGTCCATTGGCCGTGTGTCATCAGGAGACACAGAGAAGTACAACTGTGTATCATCAGCGTAACTGTGGAAATTCACCCTGTGTCACCTGATGACCCCGCCAAGAGGGAGCATATAGAGGTTAAAAAGCACTAGGCCTAAAATTGAACCCTAGGAAATAAAGCCCTTTACTCACCTGTCTATGACGTAGAAATTGTCCCCGTCGTCTCCTTGGTCTATGATGTGCTCTTGAGGTTTGACCAGCACCTCGAACATGGCATCCAACACCTCAGAGAACTGCTCCTGTAGGTGACAGTAAGGAAGACAATCAAGTTTGTTTGTTTTTTGTTTGAAAATGAATTTATTGATATAGAATGCCATAAAAGTAATTCAAAACCCAGTAAAGTTTCTGCATAAATATGACTGTAACAGTTGTGAATATAGAAGAGAAAATTAGTTGGATATCATTAATCTGGGCAGCAGTAGATCAGAAGGTAGTGCAGGTTGTCCAGTAATAGGAATGTTGTAGGTTCAATCCTGTCTCTCGCCAGAAAAGGCTGCTGTTGTGTCCTTGGGCAAGACACTTAACCCACCTTGCCTGCTGGTGGTGGCCAGAGGGACCGGTAGTGCCAGTGTTTGGCAGTCTCGTGTTAGTCAGTGCACCCCAAGGCAGCTGTAGCTACACTGTATCTCATCATCATCAGCGTGTGAATGGGTGAATGGGGTTATAGAACCCTAAGAAGTTGCTATACAAATACAGGCCATTTACTATTTAACCTGCCAATAGCAAACCATGAAACCGCCACCCCCGTGCTTCACAGCAGAGATGTAACTCACTTCAAAGAGAAAAAGAAAGATGATCTGATTATCTTCCATACATGATCTTTTCAGTAGTAGAACTCCTTTTTTATTCCTCGTTCTCTGCTGACCTTTATTCTTAGAAACGTGAGTTACACACAGCCTGTGTGAACAGTGTTCCTTCCAATCTGCTGAAGGAATTTGATCAAATTCCTTTAGAAATAAAACCATCAGCATATTTCTAATCAGTCTGACTATAGTGGTGAATTTCTCCACGTGTTTCCAACTGCTTCCCATTTAAAGGGGTTTACCTTCTCCAGAGTTTTGAACAGCAAGATGTCTTTGCATGCTTCCTGAAGCCGTTGACGCTGCTCGTCTGTTTTGGGATGAACAACCTGAGGCTCTGAGTTATCGTCTGCATCATCATCAGGGTCATATGCCTCAGCACAAACTGCACAAGCAAAGACAAACTAAAGGACTGCGCCCTTCATCACATTCATACAGCATCGTTCTTTCACTTACTGACCTGCAACCCTGCGAGGTTTGTTTCTAGTGAATCCTGAAAAGAGAGTCCAAGGTCAGCAGTGGATTAAAGATGCTTGATTTTCTTGTTTAAAGCTCATCAGAAGTATATTACTCACTGGGAATCTCCTTCTCCTCCTCCTCTTCATCGTTTTCACCTGACTTGTCTGAAACATTTTCAAACGTGCCTTCCTTCCCAGCGGAAGTGGTGCTGGGTGTCCCATCCTGCTGCTCATTCTTCTGGTTCTCCAGAACTCGTGTGAAATGCTGCACAGCAAACTCAGCCAAGTTAGGAGGCCTGTGACGAAGCACCTCCACTGTGAAGCCCTGCAGCAGCTCCTTCAAACCCTCTGGTATCTCAGCGTTACTCATTATTCAGGTTCAGATCTTCTAAAAGAATTTCATCTCCACTGAGTGAACTAAACCCTCAGCTCTGGATGCTCGGATGATCTGTGTAGTTCCATCAGCAGAGAACACTCTCTCCCTCTTCTCCAGAGCTCTGCTCCGTATTGATTCTTTTATCCAGCACAGCCTGTTGGAAAGTATTGACCCAAATGTTTCATGTCATGTGTAATTAAGGGCTGTCTAACTGATCAAAGCTCAGGAACAACTCATATGGAGTACTTGTAACCGTTTGTACAGAAGGGCGGACTGGTACAGGATTCTTTAGCTGATCTAACAGGTGAACAAAGATTTTGTATTAAGCCTTTATTCTCACTGCATCCTGAGCTCCGTTCTCAGGAACTTAAGTGTAAGCTTTCCATGAAACTCCAAAATATTTTTTGTAAATGATTTAAGAGTTTCATCCATAACCCCCCAGCTAAATAAATAAAAATGTAAATATTGTGGTAATTTTGTCCTGTGCGGTCGTTCCTTTTGACAATATTCACTGCAGCTTCTACATGTTGGAAAAGTAGTTGTTAAGCTGAAAGTCTATTCCTTAATCAAGCAGTGGGATGCGAAAGTTTGGGCAGCCGTGTTAATCTTCAGGATTTTTCGGTGTAAATCGTTGGTTGTTACAATAAATTATTATTTTTTTGCTAAATATATCATTCAGGAGACACACACAGTGATATTTGTGAAGTGAAACAAAGTTTATAGGATTTACAGACAGTGTGAAATCATTGTTTAAAAAATTAGGCAGGTGCATTCATTTGGGTGCTGCTTTTATTAACAAAATCAAGACTAAAAGGTTAACGTTTAAAGAGTGAATTATCAACATTAAAAGACCTGGTTAAAACTTTATTAAAAGTTTCACCAAAACAGAAGGTGTTTTAAAACCTACAGAGTTGATAAAAGTTCTAAAACAATCTATTGACATAAAACTCCTGGTTAAAACTTATGTTAAAAGTTTTACCAAACAGAAGGTGTTTTAAAACCGAAGTCAATAAAATTGCATCAGCAAGTTAACCTTTAAAACGATCCCTCTGGATCACTCAGAGCTTTAACTCTTTAAAGCTCATCAACTCTGAGTTAAAACTATGAAAGTTAAAACACTTCAAAAACGAAGGGGTTTAAAACAAACTCTGAGGCCTGGAGGACAGCAGAACCCCTGCACTGCTGCCTCTCAGACTTCTTCTTCTTCTGGCGTTTCATTGGCGGTTGGCAAACAACGAATGGTGCATTACCGCCACCAACTAGTGTGGAGTGTGGTCTGGAACAGCGCTCACAAAACAAAACCAAACATGGGGAGACAAAAAAAAAAATATATATATACATACATACATACACATATGCATATACCTCAACGTCTCCCAAAAATCCTTATCTCTTTCAAAAACCGAAATTAAATCGAAAAACAGTCACTTTTTGAATTCTGTCTCAATAAATCAACAAGATCTAGTTTCACTTTCATCTGACTAAGATTTTGAATCATTTTCCTTCTTTCAGCCTGATATTTCTGACATTGTAAATAACATGATCTATTGTTCTACTTCTATAGTTATACTTCTCCACAATAATCACATTTTCCTGTATTATGTTTCCCTATCATGAATAATGTATCGTTCAACCCAGTATGTCCAAACCTTAGTCTAGAAATGATCATCTCCTCTCTCCTACACCTTCCAGTGTCTCTCATTTCTCCTACTCTTCTTTGAATTTTATACAACCATCTTCCCCTCCTGTCCTCCTCCCATTGTTTTTGCCATTTTTTCTTCATTTCTTGCCTTATTATGCTCTTGATCTCTTTTTGACAACATTGAACATCTAACTGAACCGATGTATTTATTGTTGCTTCCTTAGCCATCTTACCGACTTCTTCATTACCTCTGATTCCATAATGAGCTGGAATCCATAAAAAATGTTCTTTAAGTCCCATCATGTTTATTCTATAAAGCGTTTGCTGAATCTCCATGAGTACGTCTGGTCTGCTTTCTGAATGGCTGCACTTTAAACTGGTCAATGATGAGCTGGAGTCTGAACAAATAACTGAGAATAATGGTCTGTTTTCTTCCACCCATTGAACAGCTAACGGTATAGCGAGCATTTCTCCTGTGTACACTGACAATCCATCACTCACCCTCTTTTTTACACTAACATGAAACTCAGGAACAATAAAAGCTATTCCAATATGATCTGCAGTATTCTTTGATGCATCTGTATATATTTCTACATAGTTATAATAGTGATCGATATAATCCTGTGCTGTATGCGAGTTTAGTATGAATGACTTATCCTTATTCATTCTCTCTAATAATGTTAAATCAACAGATGCCTCAGGAAGAATCCATGGTGGAATAGCAGGCAGTGGAACTCTTTGACTGATTTTAAACAGATCTAATTTAAGTTCTACCGGTTTTTTGATCATCCATCCAAAACTTTTTGTTTCCTTCTTTTCTTTCTCCTAGCAAGGTTTTAGTATGTCATGTGTTGGATGATCGTCCTTCTGACCCTGAAGATTCGCCAAATAATTTAAAGCTATTTGTTCTCTTCTGATTGCTATTGGCATCTCACCCATCTCTACCTGTAAAGCTGCTAATGGGGTTGTTTTTAAATGCTCCAGTACAGAGTCTCAGTGCCTGATTCTGGATAGAACTTAATTTTAAAAGAGTAGTTTTTGCTGCTGAATTATATGCTACACACCCATAATCTAATACTGATCTGATCAATCCATTAAATATGGCCTTCATAGACTTCCTGTCTGCACCCCATTCACTCCCAACTAAACACCTCATTATATTTAGAACCTTTTTACTCTTATCCATTATACTCTGAATATGTACACCCCAAGTTATCCTTTCATCAAACCATATGCCTAAGAATTTAAATTTATTTACCCTTTCTAACTCTTGACTATATAATTTAAGTTTAAGATCCTCTCTTACTTTTTTCCTCGTAAAGAACATCGTCTTAATTTTATCTACCGAGAATTTAAACCATTTGTATGACCATTCCTCCACTTTGCCAATTGCTTCTTGAAGTTTCTTTACAATAAACTTTACATTTTCCCCTCTTTTCCATATTGCCCCATCGTCTGCAAAACGTGAAAACCCCATCCCATCTTTTATACCATTAAAAACATAATTTATCATTAGAGAAAATAATAAAGGGCTCACTATACTACCTTGTGGTGTCCCATTTTCCACAGGAAACTTTTCAGATAAAACAATCCCAATTCTCACTTGAATTAGTCTGCCCATTAAAAAGTTCTTGATCCATTCAAACATTTGTCCATTAATACCCATTTTTCTAATTTTATTTAAAAGGCCTTCTCTCCACATTGTATCATAAGCTTTTTCAATATCAAAAAATACATCAACTACACTCTCTTTGTTTATTTGTGCTTTCCTAACTTCATATTCTAAACATAAAACAGGATCCATTGTATTCCTTCCTCTTCTAAAACCACTTTGACATTTAGATATGTATCCTTTACTTTCATTGTAGTACATTAATCTTTCATTTATCATGCACCCCATTATCTTACAAATATTAGATGTTAACGCTGTCGGTCTATAGTTTCCCGGATCGGTATTATCTGTTCCTGGTTTTCGTATGGGTACAACCACTGCTTCCTTCCAGCTTTGTGGCAATATCCCACCCTCCCAAACTCTATGATATAGTTCTAATAAAATTTCTTTAGCTTTATCACTAAAATGGTTTATGATAATATAACAAATCTGATCTTTTCCTGGTGCTGATACTTTGGACTTTTGTAAAACTCGATTTAATTCTGTTTTTGTAAATAAAATATTTAACAAGTTATCAGTATCTTCACCCTGTTCCAATAACTCTAGTTTTCATAACTGTATCTTCTCTGCCCCTTTGACCTTCTTCACTAACAGGATCTAAACTATGAATTTTAACAAATGTCTTAGCTAACAAATTTGTCTTCTCTTCGTCTGTTACTGCTGTTACTTCACCATCATTTAATGTTGGATATCCATACTCTTTTCTTATGCCATTCACTCTCTTAATCATCGACCAAACATTTTGTATTTTTGTCTCTTTCCCCACTGAATTACAAAAGCTCCTCCAATACTCCTTCTTAGCATTTTTAACAGTTCTTTTCACCGTAGCCTGTAATTTTTATACTCCATATAATTAACAAAACTTTGATTCCTCTTTGAAGTTTTAAAAACTTTATTTCGACCCTTAATAATCTCATCACAATCCTTTGTCCACCAGGGTACTAGCTTCTTTTTTCTCTTACCTTCTTTCTTCTTTATTGCATGGTTTGCTGCCTTCAAAACTACATTACAAACAGAAAAATTCAATGCATCAACATTCATATTTTTTCCATTTCCTGGTCACAAATAATTTTAAATTTTTCCCAATCTGCCTTACTAAAACACCAATTTTGTACATTCCCAGTATCATATTGTTCTATATTCATCTCAAGTTCAGTCATTAAAGGATAATGGTCACTACCAATAGTTGTTTCCTTAATTACCTGCCATGAACAAAAACCTGCTAATGAATCTGACACTAATGTGAGGTCAATTGCTGATTCTGTATCAGCTCTAATATTTATTCTCGTACCACTTCCATCATTCAAACATACATAATTTTTTGTTGCCATCAGTTCCTCAATAACTTCCCCATACCAGCTAAATATTAATTTTCCACGATGTTATTTAGCTCCACACTATATTTTATATTTTTGGGTCAGACTTAAATATTTATTTCCCAAATACTGATTTTGCAAACTAAATGTTTAGCTCCAAAATAAATATTTAGCTGGGATCTAAATATTTATTTCAGAAAATAAATAATTTACAAATTAAATATTTTGTTCCAAAATAAATATTTAATTAGTAAATTAAATATTTAGTTAGTGAATTAAATATTTATTTTACAAACTAAATATTTAGATCAGACCTAAATATTTAGTTTGCAAAATAAATATTTAACTATAAATTAAAT